TTCTGAGCTTCATCATTCGAGGACACCGTGGTCATCATTTTTGTCATTGGTGCATAAATTTCCTCTTTTTGATGAGTGTCATACATTGCATCGACGTTCAAGAAATGAAACTACGAGATGCAGGTGCATCAAAACTTTTTACGTTGTGTTCTACAAGTTTCTCTTTTGTTTCCTCCATTTTAACTCGTTGATGCTTGATAGACAGCTGTTGTGGTCTTCGTTTTCCCTGGCATGAAGTGTGTGGCTGCCATGGTGTTTTGGACCCTGGGAGTCAGATGACTAAGGGTCTTGTTTCTCCCTGACTCTGACACAAACGTTCTGCCTCGAGGCCCAGCAGAAGGATGGCCACGCTTGGGGCGTTGCCAGTGTAGCAGCACATTCTGGCTTGCAAAGGCCTGGCTCCCGTGACCTTTGCACAACTCGTCCAGCTCTTTGCTGTTCTTGCAACCCCTGTGGAAATTTACTCCAAACTCAGAGGAAGAATGTGACCCCCGTATGGCATGTACTGTTTGCCAGTAAGTGGTATAGCTGTTTGAAAGCTTATCCTGTCTATAAGCTCTGCTGTGGTTCCCATTATTCATGTGTACTTTTATCTGGACAAAAAGATTAAGGAAGTTCAAAAAAATATGTGGGGAATGGCAAGAACCAGGTCCACGGAGGAGTCACTTCCTGCTTAGCGACTCCATTTCGGGACTCTTGGGATATACGGATTGCTTAAGCATTCTGGTGACCTTTGGGAAAGAATGTGTTCTTGCAGTAAAAGCAATGGCTGGGAATTTGGATTTCTGTGTTCGGTTCCCAGGAACACAAGAGGTCACCCAGTGACAGGGGACAAGCCAGTTAAGCATCGAATCTTACTTTCCCTATCCGCGAAATGGACATAAGAGGGTCCGTACCTTGAGCTAACATCATGTTGGCGAATCGTTCAGTGTCCTGCCAGGAACCAGCTTGCTCTAGTGACCTAGAAAAAGACAGGGACTGTGGTGTGGGCTGACCTCATTTCCAATCCTGGCTTTAGTGCTGACTCAATGAGAAACTTGCCGAAGTCAGTTCATCTGGCTCTGGTCCTCCATGCATTCCACAATTAAATTGGGAATCATAAAATCTTATCTTCGCTGGTCTCACGGCGATACTGCCAATATTAATTAAGTGCTAAAAATACTCCACCCGATGTATTAGAAAGCTCTGACATTGCCATGCCTTTCTTATTTCCTTCCTGTCTCATGTTGGGGTTATTTGGGGATAGGCAGTTTCGCATTTATTTATTTATTTTTAACCAGATGTCTGAAGCTCGGGCTTCTTGTATTCTGAGTTGGACCGCCCTGCGTCCCCAAACTGGGTGCCTTGTTTTCTGTGGCTCTGTCCAGGAGCCCTGAGTATTGGGGAAGGATGAACAGATTCAAGGTACTCTTCGTCTGAACAGGTCTCGGTCTGGGGATGGTTTGCTTTCTCAGCTGTCACAGTGAGGCCGGGTAGCGTGGAGTGTTGTTGCTTTGTGGGCTCTTTGAGTTCACTACAGAAAAGAATTTCAGAGCGAGTCACGGAGAGGGTTTTAAAATACCGTGTATTAGAGAGAGAAAAGAGGAAAAGACATGTTCGAGAGAGAGTGTGGGTGGCTTTCGGGGAAAGGGTACACACTTGCTGTTAGCAGAAAGCCTTAAATTTTGTCCCAAATGATGATTAAGCCACCTCTTTCTAAGCTAAGCTTTGATCACAAGTTTCAGTTCCTCTCATTTTATGCCTAAGTTTGCTTGTGTCATGGGGAACTTTTGAGAAAATGGGAAAAGTTGCTGTTTCATTAACTTTTCTCTTAGAGTACCGTGCCTCAGTGTCCCCGGTAACTCCTTATTCTCTTATTTGCTGCCTTTGTAGCCAGCTGCCCCATGTTCCAAGGTCGGGCCTGTGTTTCAGTCAGTGTGTAGTAGTTTAAAAGAGTTATGTCCTGATAAGACGGTGCCCAGATGCCTGACCATCTGGTTTCCTAATTATCTAAGCCTGCCTATAAGAAACTATCTATATCTAAGCTATGCTAAGCCTGCCTGTGAGAACTCACTATCCATATCTAAGCTATGCTGGCTGTTCTGCCTCAACAAGGCCTCTGGGAAAAGCAGCCAGCCTTCCCATCCAGTCCTTGCTGAGGGCCTCAGCGTAGCAGCACCTGCTTTTTCCGGAAGATTCTCTGGACTGGATGCTGCTGGCCCAAAATGACATGCTACACTGGAGGGATAGATGTGCTTCAATCCACTTGCCATTTTATCCTGTCCTCTAGAGTTGGGAATAATCTCCCCATGTATTCGCAGCACACAGTTTCTAGACTCCTGACTTGTATTTCCAATTAAACAGCTCCCTGGAGGTGCAAGGGTGGGAACCCAGAGCTCATCACCTTCTTTTTGTATTTATAAAAATGCAGCAAGGCTGGGCGTGGTGGCTCATGCCTATAATCCCAACATTTTGGGAGGCCGAGGTGAGAGGACTGCCTGAGCCCGTGGGTTCGAGACCAGCCCGGCCAACTTGGTGAGACCTCGTCTCTACAATAAATCAAAAAATAGCCGGGCGTGGTGGTACGTGCAGGTAGTTCCAACTACTTGGAAGGCTGAGTTGGAAGGATCACCTGAGCCCAGCAGGTTGAGACTGCAGTGGCGGTGAGCATGCAGTCCAGTCTGGGTGACAGAGTGAGACTCCCATTCAAAAAAAAAAAATGCAGCAGGTGGTTAGTTTACCAGTAAGCGTTAGGACCGGCTGAGTGGCTTGTTTGATTCATTTTGATTATGGGATGCGAAAAGCTTGTAAGTAACTCGTTAATGTGCTATTTTGGGGCCTGTGTTTATGTTATGGAATGTATAGCTTGCTTGTTTATTTTTATCTTGAGCTAATATAACTTTGAGAAGGGCATTGCATGCCAACTAATCCTGACTGTAATCTCAAAGGTCCTTCTTTTTTTGAATCAGCTAACAGTGCTTCCATAATCTACCCAATTTGTGTGGTAAGGCTGCATTAAACTTCCTAGACTGTGAAGTGGATGAATAGGTTTTCTCCATTTCTTGTCATGATTCTGTGTGTTTTTAGGTTGACAATCTAAATACGGCAGACTTCCTAAAATACCACTGCACTGGGCCACCGGCTGTCTTGTGCTTGTAGAATAAATGGCACTTCCAGGATCTGATGCTGGTGCCTATCCCTCCATGTTTTGCCCGATTATGTTGGCCTCGGGGGCCTGCTGGGCTCCCGAGAGCTGGGCCTCCCTCCTCTCCCCTCTGCTGCCTGCCAGCCTGTTTCTGTGTCCTCTTTTCTCTTCCTTTCCTTCCCATATTCATTTTACCTTCATCTTTCATGGGCCAGCTTCAGGCTCAGAGTCCCTCGAAGTCTTGCTAACCATTCTTTTTCTTTTTCCACTGAGTATAGCCCGTGCTCCGTCTGTCAGGTGTTTGTACCCTGAAAAAACAGTGATTACTTTAAAAATAATGTTTCTTATCCCTTTTTGCCCCATGGGAGCAGAGACGATAATTAACATTCTAAAAAGACACTTAGGATCAAAGCCCACCATCTCCCTGTTGATGGCACGGGTCATCTCAGCATCGTGGGCCAGGACCCACAGTGGGAACTCTGCCCACCCACACCTCCTGATGACCTCTCAAGAGAAGGATACAGCTGACGCTCCAATCTCAGAATCCCAACTCCGTGATTGTTGATGGCAAGCGTTCCACCAATGGCGCAGACTTGCAATCAGTTCAGAGAAAAAAAGAAAAACCCACTGTTCATTGTTTTATTTATCCAACACATACTTTGGCATTTTGTGTATATAAAGCATTGTGCCAGGAATCACGTGGGAGTAGTTGCTGCCCCGAAGAGCGTAAAACAGAGTGAGAAAAGCCTCCAGGAGTAGGACTTTGCTTCCATTTTGGACTCTCACTGTGGACTCGCGCAGTGTTGGCTGATGCTTAGAAAGGCTGAGGTTGTGGTGTTACAATTCTCCAGAGAATCAGAACCAGTGAGATAGAGAGATAGATACCTAATAAAATAGATAGGAACATAACCAATATGATAGATAGATGATAGAGATACAGATAGATTGATGATAGAGAAATAGAGAACCAATAAGATAGATAGATAACCAACAGAATAGTTAGATAGAAAAACAACCAATATGATAGATGATATAGTGTTATATAGATAGAGAACCAATAAAATAGAAAGATAGCCGTAAAATAGATAGATAGCCAATAAGATAGATAGAAACAGAGTCAATAGATACAGAACCAATGCAATAGATGGTAAGTAGATGGATAGATTGATAGAGACAGAACTGTAAGATAGATGGTAGATAGATAGAAGCAGAACCAATGAGACAGGTAGATGATAAATGACAGAGAGATAGAGAACCAATAAGACAGATAGATGATAAATAGAAACAGAACCAATTAGATAGACAGATAGAAGCAGAGACAATAATATAGATGATAGATAATCCGAACCAATATGATAGATAGGTGATTGATTGATAGATAGGGGACTTATTACAGGAATTGGGTCCTGTGTTATGGAGGAGGAATTCCATGGCATGCTATCTGCAAGCTTGACAGCCAGACAAACAACGGTGTCATTCCCAGTCCAAGGAGAACCTGGTGGGAGAGAGGGCATTGGTCCAAGTTCCTGAATCCAGAGGCTGAAGAGCCTGGGGTCCTGCTGTCCAAGGGAGGGAGGATATGGGGGATCCCAGTTCCAGAAACGAGAGGCCTCGCCTTTCCTTACCTATTTCTTCCATCCGGGCCCTCAGCCGACTGCATGGTACCTGCTCACAGGGCTGGGGGCGAGTCTTCCCCATCTGACGCACTGATTCCAAAGCCAATATCTCCCAGAAACTCCCTCTCTCACCCAGAAAGAACGCTTTGCCTGCTCCGGGTGTCCCGTAGCCCAGTCAAGGTGGGCCATCGCGCCGATTCCCAATTACTTCCTGTTTCTTCCTGCCTGTTGCCTGACCTGTGTTTCTTCTCTGCAGGGTGAGAGAGGCCTCCCCGGCTTACAAGGCGTCATCGGGTTTCCGGGAATGCAAGGACCCGAGGGGCCGCAGGGACCACCAGGACAGAAGGTAAGTCTGGCTGTGGAAGGGGGGAGGGGAGAGCGGCGATGGTCTGTGTCCTTGTGATGGCTGATGGTCACAAGGGCCCTCTGCTCTGTTCCAGGGTGACACTGGAGAGCCAGGCCTGCCTGGGACCAAGGGGACGAGGGTGAGTACGGTGGCCAGTCGCCATCGAGGATGATGTGTGTGGGGTCTGCTGGCTTCAGGAGCGGGGGCACCTCAGCAATCTGGGGGGGCTCCCTTCCTTCCTCTCCTTTCTCTGTGCCCCTTGCGCTCTGTCCCTCTCTGCAACCCACATGGCGTGTCCATGCAGGTACCAGCCCTTCCTGGGCGGTGGCCTGTTTCTTCCTGAACCCCTGGCTTTCTGACCCACGCTGTGCACAAGAGATCCTCACTACCTGGTTGCTGTTTTTTAGCTTGTTTTCTCCCATTTGTTCTTTGCCAAGACTCTCAGGTGGACTAATTTTAGGGACAGAGGCAATGAATGGATGTTATGTCCAAAAGTCATTAAGAGAGGGGATGTCACTGAATGTGTGATGTCTTGGTGCCCTCAGAGCCCACCCTGTTCTTCCTCTCTTTGCTGTCTTTACTTTCCTTGCCGTACCCGTTCCTGGAAAATGCAGTTTTTGTAAGAAAATGTGGATAGTAGGAAAAAAGGAAAGATGTGGTAAAACGTAAACATGTCGGTCTTGTTAGTGTTGCACAGACAGAAGGTCCATGGCGTGGCCACAGCGGGCGTGTGCCTTGGCGGGCCTGCCCGTGGGCTCTGGGGGGGACAGAGGAAATGCCATTGGAACCGCCTGGGTAAACAGCACTGGAACTAGTGAGGGGAGATACGGATCTTAGCTAGAAAGAACTTCCGATGTTCTCTTCTTCCCAATGTTGGAGAGTCTCATGTGAATTACACGCTCTTTCTTTTAGCCTAGATGGTACAGACACTGTTATAGTGTGCCAGGGCAGCCTGGGTTTAGAAGGGACCCGCAGTCAACTCGTGGGGCAGGGATCCTGCTGTAAACCTGGGCCATCGGCCTGTGGGCTGGGCCCTCCACGCCGCCTCGGCAGAAAGCTCTGTCTGCTTGGTGTGCGTGTTCCAGGCGCCAGCAATTAGGGCGTGACTCCACCAACCAAGAGGACAGTGCAGTAGGAGGGAGGGAGGCCTCCCGGCTCGCCCCTGAAACGTTTTCATTTCCATCCTTGCAGGGCCCTCCGGGAGCATCCGGTTACCCTGGAAACCCAGGACTTCCCGTATGTACATAGAATGCGCTCTGCTTCTCACACAAAACATGCCGCCACCCAGTGACTTTCTATGTTGGTTACTTTTTCACTTTGTTCGTTGCAGGGCATTCCTGGCCAAGACGGTCCGCCAGGTCCCCCGGGCATTCCAGGATGCAACGGTACAAAGGTAAATTTAGAACCGAGACCCTTCCCTTCCGGTGTGTGTTTGTGTTACTCTGCAAAGCATAGTATGAAGTCAGGTAATGGTACTCGGCCAACTCAGTTTTGTTTGCCACGATTGGGAAGCTACTTGTCTTAAAGATTTCTTCATTTGACGAGGAATACTTTCCCCCCGTGTTTAGTGTACCAGAAAGAGATTGTTGCGCCTTTCTTTTCTGTAGACTTTTATCCTAAAATCGCTCTTAATCACTAAAGCTGTTCCCTACAGTCAATGACGACACTGTCAGACAGTGCTGTTGTGAATCCTGGTGCCTATCCGCTCTTAATAAATAAATGATGCGATTGAGTATATGTCTTCATTCGTAAAATGGCACCCAGTAATCTAGCTCGTATCGAACTGTTTTTAGGAAATGACTTTTAGCCAATGCATGAGGTGACTCTGAAGGGCAGGATAGCGACTCACGCGGGTGCCTGGGATGAGGTTGTTTTCGCCACGCTCAGTGTGTGTGAATGACATTCTCCTGTTTCCCCAGGGAGAGAGAGGGCCACTCGGGCCTCCCGGCTTGCCCGGATTCGCTGGAAACCCTGTGAGTATGGGGCTAAGTCAGAATTTCTTCCCAATTCCTTTCTTTTTTCTTCTCTCTGTCCCTGGCTCCTTCCTCTCTCCCCTTTCTCCTTTCTTTTTGCACCTACTTCTTAGTGCTAATGATATTCAGAGAAAACCAAAACACTAATACCCAAACCTTCTTTTTTAGGGACCACCGGGGTTGCCAGGAATGAAGGTACCTTTTATTTTATTGTGTTTTATTGGATTCATGGCAAGGAATCTGCTTACAACAGATGCCATAGAAACAAATCCACGTTAAATCACTTCAGCCGATCGACTGCTTGGGAATGTGTTTTCCTAAACTTTGTGACATTCAAAGACTCTATACGAATCAGTCGTAAGCAACATACGCAGGTGTAGACTTGAGACTCTAACGTCAAGGCACTTGGCACAGTGTCTTTGTGGGAAGTTTGTAGTAACAGGAGGGTGGTGACTATTCCTTTCACTGAGAACTGGGGTGGGGGGAGAACTGAGTCGGGGGAACCTCTCACATTACATAGAAAGGCGTCTTCCCAAGTCTTTCCCTGCAGGGTGTGGCTGTCCTGGGGCTCAGCCGCTCTCCTGAAGGTGACCCAAATTGTGCACTCTCGTGACGTGCACCCTGTACTGTGAGACGGGCTGGGGGCAAGCAGGGCAGCTGGGCACCGGAGTGGCCCTGTAGAAAGGAAGCTTAGGGTTCTCAGCAGCTGCAGGAGAGGCGGCTGCCGACCTGAATGAGGTCCTGAGTCCGTGTGCTCCTGTGTTTAAGAACACCTCGGCATCTGTTATCCTCATAGCAGCCCTGTGTGTCAATCTTCCAAAAAAACAGAACCCACAGGATCTGTGTGTGTGTGTGTGTGTGTGTGTGTGTGTGAGTGAAGACAGAGAAGAGAGACTTGTTCTCTGAGTTAGGGATCTTACTCTGTTGTCCAGGCTGGAGTGCAGGGGCATGATCACGGCTCACCACAGCCTCGACCTCTTCTGCTCCTGCGATCCTTCTGCCTTAGCCTCTCAAATAGCTGGGACTACAGGAGTGTGCCACCACACCTGGCTAATTTTTAATTTTTTTTATAGAGATGAGGTCTTGCAATGCTGCCTAGGCTGGTCTTGAACTTCTAGGCTCAAGCAATCCTCCCGCCTCAGCCTCCCAAAGTGTTGGGATTACAGGCGTGAGCTCCCATGCCCGCCCCAGGAGAGACTTATTTTAAGGAATTGTTCGTGTGGTTGTGAGGGCTGCAGTTCAAAACCTGCGGGGTGGGCCGGCAGGCTGGAGCCCAGGGGAGGGCTGTGGTCGCAGTCTTGAGTCTGAAGGTCACCTGCAGGTCACATTCTCTTTCCCTCCAGCCAAGACCTCACCGTCTTTAACTGATTGGACGAAGCCCACCAATGTTATAGTGGGTCATGTGCTTTATTCAAAGTCTATTGATTTATTTTTATTTTTACTTATTTAATTTTTTGAGTCAGAGTTTCACTCTGTCACCCAGGCTGGAGGGCAGTGGCACGCTCCCTGCCACTGCAGCCTCGACCTGCTGGGCTCCGGTGATCCTTCCGCCTCCGCCTTCCGAGTAGCCGGAACTACAGGCGTGCGCTACTACGCCTGGCTAGTTTTTGATTTATTGTAGAGACAAGGTCTCGCCAAGTTGCCCGGCGGGTCTTGAACTCGCAGGCTCAGTCAATCCACTCACCTCGGCCTCCCAAAGTGCTGGGATGACAGGCTGAGCCGCTGAGCCCGACCCAAAGTCTGTTGATTTAAATGTTGATCTCATTTTACAAAACACCTTCACGCTAACACCTGGACTGGTGTTTAACCAAATCATATGGCCTAGCCAAGTGGACAGATATAATTCACCATCACACCTGCTTTTATAAAAATATTCACTATGAGGCTTTTCTCAAAAGACAGCCCTTACTTTGTGTGACTAGCCTGTGCTCACCCAATCTTCCAGTCGGAGGCTGGGGTCCTTGTCTGGAATGTGGGACAGTCATACGTGCGGTGTTGTGTCAGGGACTCTTTCGTTTGACTGTCTCTACATCGGGTCCTGGCTGTAGCTGAGTTGATGGTGTGCATTCAGGCTGGGTCTTGGGATGGGTATCATGAATGGGAGAGACGGCCAGCCTGTTCACGTCCTGCTGAGACACTCAATCCCAGATTTAGGCGGGTTCCATACCAGTAACACGTGCTGGCTCGTCCGTGGGCTCTTTCTGTGATTATTCGTATGTACGACTTTCTCCTCCCTTTTTCTTCCCCTAGGGGGATCCGGGTGAGATACTTGGCCACGTGCCTGGGACCCTGCTGAAAGGTGAAAGAGGATTTCCAGGACCCCCAGGGATGATAGTAAGCATTTGCAAAGTAATTTACAAGCACCTGCTGCCTCCCCCTTCATGTGCGTGCTCATCCTTTTCTCTCTCCATCTTTCTATTAGGGTTCACCAGGATTGCCAGGGCTTCAAGGTCCCGTTGGCCCTCCGGGATTCACTGGACCACCGGTAGGTTTGGGGGCATAACTCTCTGAGACAGTCCTTTCAAGAACAGCCATGTTGAGGTGTGGAAACCGACGAGAATGCAATGAAAACTTCACACGGTCGTGGTCGCCCTTCATGGTGGAATCAGTTCTCTCTTGTTAAGTGTTTGGCCGTCACCAGGGCCCACCCATCCCCAGAGCCGTGGGAGAAGGCTAATGGTAGCCCCGAATGCCAAGACATCCCCAGTCGGATGACACAGTCATGACTCTCAGGCCTGGCTGGGTCCCAGGGGTAGCCACAGCCTGAGGAAGTGAGTTCAAGGACAGACAAGGCAGCTTTTGCCCCGGGGCTTCACCCCTGAACAGGGAGACAGGTGGGTGGAGGTAGCCTCACACCAGAAGGCTCTGCGTCCATTAGGGACTGTGGGTGTAGACCACGCTGCAGCACAGAAGCCAAGCGGGGCTTGCTCTAAAGACCTTGCCAACCGAACACCCAGCAGGCTCTATTTTTTTCTCGTTGGCCTCCTTGGCAGCTCCCACAGCTCATAGATCTTGGCAAGAAGGAGGTGCTGTCCCCTCCCACGCCCTCATCTTCGAGAGCACAAGAGAGTGAATGTTGAGACTTATTCGCTGAGAGCTGGGCTTTCTAGGAAAGGATGTGCCCGAGTTCGTTTTCCTCCTGTAGCCTGGCGGAGAGTCCTTTTTTTGGAGTTGGGATCTCAAGCTGGAGTGCAGTGGCATGATCACGGCTCAGTGCAACCTCGGCCTTCTGGGCTCAGGTTATCCTTTTGCTTCAGCCTCCTGAGGTGCTGGGACTACAGGTGTGTGCCACCACACCTGGCTAAGTTTTTATTTTTTTTGTAGACACAAGGTCTTGCTGTGTAGCCCAGGCTGGTCTTGAACTCCTGGGCTCAAGCGATCCTCCTGCCTCAGTCTCCCAAAGTGCTGGGTTATAAGCATGAGCCATCACACCTGGCTGGAAGAGTCCTCTTGAGAGATCACCAGGCTTATACGTTTAGTTGATTTGTTTTCTATTTTTTCTTTTAATTGTAAAATCCAGAAATTCTTCTTCTATCCATTCATGTAAATAATGGATACATCATCTTTCACATTCTTGTGAATAAATGGACTCATTTTTATGAGTAAAGAATGACTACTTTTTCCTTTTTAACATGATTATTAAAAAGGTGGGAGGATCAATTGAGTCCAGGAGTTTGAGACCAGATGGGCCAACATAATGAGTCACCCCGTCACGTTTTGGTCCTTGTCTCTACAAAAAATAAATAGCAGTCTCTAAAAAAAGTAAATTAACTGGGCATGGGTGGTATATGCCTGTAGTCCCGGCTACCCAGGAGGCTGAGGCAGGAGTATTGCTTGAGCCCAGAAGGACGAGGCTGCCTTGAGCTATGAGGGCACCCTATCCTGGCTGACTTGAGCAAGACCCTGTCTCTAAAAAAAAAAAAATGATGTTTAGTTGCAAACACGGGAAGAATTTTTCTTTTTACTGCAAACTGCTCACTTGAGTAATCAACACTTTTTAAAGATAAACAACGACATGTCAAGTGAACACACACGATTCCCTAACTGGAAGCTCCTGGCTTCCAGAGGGTTTGGCTGGTGCTGTCCTGTGTCATGCTGCGAGCTCGTCCCAGCATGTCTTAGGTCACAGGGGCATTTTCATCTCTGCGAATAATCGTACTGAACCAGTTTCTGGTTATTTTCAATGATAGCCCAGGAAAAATATTGAACAAATGCATCGTTAACGTGACTTTAGCACAAAGAAGGGCTTAAGGCACCCCAGGGTTGTGAATCATGTTTAATTAAATATTGTCTCTTGCAGGGCCCTCCAGGCCCTCCCGGCCCGCCAGGTGAAAAGGTAAAGAGTTTTTACATTTAATCGTTCTTTGGCGTTAGTAGAAGACTGTTAGGAAATTGCCACAACTCCTTCTTTCAGTCTCTGTAAAAAGTTTTGAAAAATTAAATCGTCTTTATCTATATATTTAAGACATATATTAATAATTACATAGATATATAGGTTTAATAGATATGTAGATCTATTTGCTATAACTCATTCTTTCTGTCCCTGTAAACTGTTTTGAAAAATTAAATTATCTTTATGTTTGAGGCATATATTAATAGATATAGAGAGCTGATAGGTCAGATTGCTATAGCTCATTCTTTCAGCCTCTGTGAAAAGTTTTAGAAAATTATATTGTCTTTACCTATCTGTATAGGTCAGATACATAGTAATAGATGTGTAGTTCTCTCTGTCATCTATCTCCTGTCTTCTGTCAAGCATCATTCAGTCATCTACTTATCTTGTCTTCCACTCATCCCTTTGTCATGAAGTTGGAATCACTGACATTTCCCTTAGTTTTTAAAGCCAGAGTTTAAAACCCTCAGTTTTTTAAAAAAGGGTCTTTATGGAAGTTTTTACCAATACTATTTTTAAAACATTTTTATAGACACTGACTGAATACAGCATGCACACAACTTTCTAGAAAATTTTATGACGGCGGGACAAAGCTATTGCTTGAGATCTCTCATCTTATTGCTCTTTCTGTGAGATTTCTGTGAGACTGAACAAAGCAGACAACTCTACTAATGAAAGTCTAATTTTTCATCAACAGGGGCAAATGGGCTTAAGCTTTCAAGGACCAAAAGGTGACAAGGTGAGTGCACATCTCTCTGGAATTTTCATGTTGAAAACCACAGTTCTGCATGCCACAGTTTCCGCCCCTGGGACCCTCATAGCTACAGTGATTCTTCTCTGTGTGTTCTTGAGTTTGATCATGTTTTCCTTAAAATACTAGCACTGTTGAGGTTTATTCTTGCTTATGGAATAGGCTAGAATTTACTGGAGTGCTCTACGTGTGAGCTGACAAGCAGAGAATACAACGAGGCTAATTCCAGATATCTCTACGTGGAGTTCCGTCGAAACGTCCATCAGTGATAGAGTCAGACTTAGAATTTATCAAGGTTGGCAAGCGACTATTGGAGAAGTCACTCTGTTAAGCCCCGCAGAGCTGAAGTCCATCGTAAGGGGAGTTAGAAACCAGGACAGTCGGCAGTCTGTCGTCCTCCCCACTGGCCTTTGTCCTCAGATGGGGACACTTTCAAGGCAGATGGGCGTGGGGTACACACACCATGGAGGCCAGAGGGAGCACAGAGCATAGCTCCAGCCAAGACGGGTTCTTGCCACGGCGGTGGCTGGCCTGCAGGTGGGCCCAGGCACTCCTTCTCTGGTGTCCAAACGGATGTAGGTGATCGAGACCGTGTTCAGTGGGAACTCCAGTGTCAGGCCCAGTCTTTTCATACCTAGAACAGATACAGTGACCCTGCAACTTGTACAGTTGACGTTTCAGACCTCATCGCTGTGTTGTGGCTGGATTTCACTTTGCCTCTGGGTGTGCCCAGTCATCAAGATGCCCGAGAAAGAAAATTCTGGAAGGTTCTCTTGCCCTTGGGCTACCGCAAATGCCTCCTTTCTTCCCAAGCTCTCAGGCAGTGTGCGCCTTTCCTTCGTGCCATGAATAGCACACTACATGTGCAAGTGAGTCTAGACGTGTCCTGAGCGTGTTCAGATGACATTTTAACTACGGCAGTAGTGGCTGCCCATTCATTGCGGACTCCTGGGAAGTGACATTCTCCTGCATTTAGATCCATCTTTTAACATCTTCCTATTGAAACTCTGTCTTCTGCGGAAGCAAAGATGATTAGAACAGAATAGAGTATAATTAACATTTCAAAAATGTTTTATTATTGGCTTTTGTCCCCTCCCCTCACAATTTTTCTTCTCTGTGTAATTATTATTTTGCCTAGTTGATTTCAAATGTTTGCATCCACAGGGTGATCAGGGGGTCAGTGGGCCTCCAGGAGTCCCAGGACAAGCTCAGGTTCAAGAAAAAGGAGACTTTGCCACCAAGGGAGAAAAGGTAGGGGTGACCTCCATCCAGTGGGTGCTCTCTTTAAAATCTTGCACAAATTCCAAGGGACAAAGAAAAACCACATCAGAACTCAGTTTTTCCGGCTACCTCAATCCTGACCTAGAAGACAGATTTATAGACTGTCCATTCCATAAAACATGAGCACTTCTGAGAGCAGAGGCAGCTGGAACGAACTTGACCAGAGGCTGAGCAGAGGCTGGGCAGAGGCTGACCCTCTGAAATCTTGCATGTGCCCCAGCTGGGGATGGGCTGACCAGCAGGAGGGAGTTGGGCTCTAGGGCAGAAGGAGGGTGTGGCTTGTCACCGTGGGTGGAGCACGAGGAACTCTGCCCTTCCGAAACCCACAACCAGTCCTTGCTAGGAAGTCACTGCTGGAAACCTGTGTGAATTTCTTTGTTATAATATCAGAAAAATGTGGGGTTTTTTTCCAGTTGCATATTCAGTGTCCCATAGGAACATTGACATAGCCATTCGATAGCACTGATTGTTATCTCTGTTTCTCAAATTCTTTTAGGGTCAAAAAGGTGAACCTGGCTTTCAAGTAAGTACTCAATATTTGTCTGGTTTTTTTTTAAGGGGAAAGATTGTAATTTGAGTTATAAGCTTATTTCACATTAAATTTTATATTTCTCTAATTTGATATTTGCTGAAATATCCTAATGTGTCTAATTCTTCCTCTTTCTGTTTGTTTAAGGGAATGCCAGGGGGTGGAGAGAAAGGTGAACCTGGAAAGCCAGGGCCCCGAGTAAGTGCCTTCCGGCATCCTTTTATCCTCATTTTGTAGAAATAATTTCCTTTTGTTCCTAAAATTACGGAGTCACAGAAACATGGAACTGGAAAAGGCTTGTAGGGTCTTTGGTTTATCCCTTACATCTCCTGAGCTTACATCTCCATTATTTGAAAGGTCACTCTCGAGATGGCACCAGTCCTTCCCAGTCAGAGACCCCACACTGTGGATACAGTTGCCCAGTGTGGAAAAGAGTCCTTCAGAGAGCCACCCACTGGCCCAGCCACCCACTACAGCACCTGTCCTGCCCAGTGTAGAGCAGCTGGCTGGTTCGAATACCTTGGCAGCCCAGAACACCAGGCTGTGTTGCCCAGCCTCAAGCCTGAGACGCCAGGTTACGTCTTGCTGAATGGGGAGGGGTGACTTGGGGCCTGCCCGTCTGCCGGTTGCCGGCGACAGCTGTGGTTCCTACCTGAAAACACCGTATGGAACCCTCCGTTAAAATCAGTCATTTGCGCCGGGCTCGGTGGCTCAGCCTGTAATCCCGCGCCTTTGGGAGGCTGAGGTGAGTGGATTGCCGGAGCCCGTGGGTTCGAGACCCGCCTGGGCAGCGAGACCTCATCTCTCCAATAAATCAAAAAAATCAGCCGGGCGTGGTAGCGCGCGCCTGTAGTTCCGGCTACTCAGAAGGCTGAGGCGGAAGGATCGCCGGAGCCCAGCAGGCGAGGCTGCGGTGGCCGGGAGCAGCCACTGCACTCCAGTCTGGGCGACAGAGTGAGACTCCAACTCAAAAAAAAAAAATCAGTCATTTGCACATCAGCTTCCAAAGATTCGCCTGGCAAGGGCGAGCGTCTCTGCTGTCAGCTTTGCTCCCAGACGAGGATGATAGCTCTGGAGATGTGTAGCTCATCAGACTCCGTTCTGTAAAATGGAGGCGTTCTCTCCTTGTGTATCTTTCTCATAACAATTCATCACATACTCAGGACATGTTGTTGTTGGATTGTCAGCTCACACAGAGCCCTTCTTTGCCGTGCTTGTGATTCATAAGAGACGACGTATGAGCGTCTGTCTGAACCAGAGCTTTGGTCTAGTATCATCGTTTTCATTATTATTTCCGGAATACAAATGTTTGCATCTTTATTGTACAGGGAAAACCTGGAAAAGATGGAGAAAAGGGAGAAAAAGGGAGTCCGGTAAGTGTTTCTCTGCTGGTTTTTTTTAAAAAAAGCAGTCACGTTGTTCCCTTCCCCAGCTCATGGCTGTTCCTGTTGCTTCTGGTTCATTTCAGGGTTTTCCTGGAGATTCCGGATACCCGGGACTCCCTGGCCGGCAGGGTCCTCAGGTAAGCGGCGGCGCTATTTTGAGTTTTTAGCCTTCATTTTGTAGTTCAACCTAGTAGTCTTTTCACTTTTTCTTAGAATAAAGGACTCTCCTCACAGGAACAAATATTATTCATGCCCCTTATGGGGAAACACACAATTTAGTTAAGTGACTTTATGTTCGTGAATATTTTTTGAGGAAAGAATACAGTAAAATGTGTTGCTCATTCACGTTTTAATGTCTTTTCGGGGGGATAGTAGATTCGTCTTTTCCTGATTCAGAAACAACAGAAAATGGAGAAAGACATAATGAAGAAAGGGAAGCTTATCTAATTTTTCTGTTGCCCACTCAGAAATGGTCAGAGTGGACCATGTTCCATAGAGCACACAGGCAGGCACTTTAAAAGATGGCCCCGAATGCCGTGTCTTGCTTTCTCACTTGATGTGAGAAGAAGGATATTGTTCAGGGTTCATAGATGTGGTCATACACATGAACATTTCTGACGTCCGCGCCTTTTCATTACCTGGCATTTAGATCATTTCCAAGTTTTTAGGACGGCAAGTCTTGGTCACTTGTCTGATCATTCCCCATCCTAAATTCATAAAAGTGTAACTCTGGGGGCCACGTGTGAATTCTTGTTTGGAAAGTTTTGCCACCTTCCACAGATTGCCCCCGAAAGTGCCAGGCCAGGACCCCTCTCCTTTGAGGAGCTGGTTGTTGTCCGACATTACAAATTGTTTATTAATCTGACAGGCAGGAAAAATGCATCGTCGCTTTATTTTTTTCTCTCTTAATCACGAGACTAGGTAAGGTCGATCTCTACTAAAATAAGAGATAATTGTGAAGTATTCATCACTGTTGGAGAGGGCAGAGCTAGGGAAGGGGTCTCAAGGTTTGTTTATTAAAACTGGGTGCAAAAGGGAGAAATGGTCTGCTGTCCTTTTTTGCGAAAGCGAAGTCCTGTAAACTTTAAATGGTAAATATATTTAGAATATTGTAGCTTCAGATTTTTCAAGTCCTTTAGATTCTTCTAGAATTTCTTCTTGTATGCACTAAGAAATGACTAAACGTTCAAATCTAGTTGAATGCCTTATAATTTAAAAAGGAAAATGTATATTTGCGGCATAAATCTTAGGACTGTCTAAATGATTATGACGGTGTTTAGGCAAGGACATTCGATAGACAAGGCTCATTTCTTTGGGTTTTATACATCTCCTATGGATTAAATAAGTCTCAAAGTTTATCCAGCAGTGTTTTCAATTAATACTGGATTTTACGTTATGACTTCCCATGCAAATTTAAGACAATATTGCCCCTAAAAACCGAATATAAAATGATTTCTTTAAGAAAATACATTCAGAAATCATGCTTTCATATCATTTCACTTTACTTTCTCTTCATTTTATTGAAAAGCCACGGTGTGCTAATTCAGTTCATAAATGGTTCTGTTAAAGTGTTCTGTGGAACGTGCAATCAATAGGACATATGTTAGGAGCTCTTTGTAATGGGTTCAGCCTCTGCTTATGTTTTGCAGAAATCTTTATTTCTATATATCATGTTTATACAAAGCAAAAGGAAAAAGATTCATTTTTGTTACTAAAATCACAGAGCATGATAAGCTCATTGCGATGAGCTACACTAAGGAGAGAAAAATAGTGTTCCGATACTGAAGGTACACTCTCTATTTTACCAGGAAAAAAAGTTAAACCCAACTTTCTGTAAGTCAATCTTTACGGTGCACATATGCAAAGAAAGTTATTTTCTCTTTTTCAGGGAGTAAAAGGGGAAGCTGGTCTCCCGGGCCCACCTGGAATTGTGAGTAAAAGGGTTATTCTTAGAACTGTGGGAGCCTTGAATGGGGGAAGGAGAGGAGATGGGAGTGGATGGTTAATTCCCTAGAATTGTGTTTTAGGGAAAGTTGATGTATCATGCTAGTTGGAATAATTCTGTAAATTATATAATAAGGAGTTTGGTATTTACTGTTTTTATTACATTTTGATAATTTCTGCACATTCTTAAACCTCTGAAGATGAAAAGGTTTGTCCATTGACCAGGATATTTGCAAACTACTGGGTGGTGTCTCATGCCAGTAATCCCAGTGCTTTGGGAGGCTGAGGCAGGAGGATCGCTTGAGGTCAAAAGTTTGAGGCTGCAGTGAGCTAGGATCTCATCACTACACTCCAGCCTGGGTGGCAGAGACCCTGTCTCAAATAAAGCAAAACAAAAAAGATCTTGGCAACCTATGTGAAACCTTCTTTAAAAAGTGATGCATTGAGAAAAGTTTCTATAAGAGAAACAGATCATCCGTGATTTTTTTTCAAATGTTTTACTCCTTGCCATATGCGCATTTTACACACTTGCAACGGGTTGCGTGACCTTTGTAAAAAAAAGCACATCCTCCATGCTTGTGAGTATCTTCGCAGACATCATGGGAAGTGTCCTGTGAGAGTTGCGTGTGATTGCTCTAGCCATCTGGCCCCAAATCTTTTCTGGGTAATGAAAATCTTTCTGTTCTCTCCTTTGCTGGCGCCCTGCAGTGCCGCAGGTAATGACTTTGGGTGGGCGTTTAAGTGGGGTGACGGGGGCTTGAGTCCCTTTTCCTTGGGCTCCATTTCTAGGAACTGGATTCTTGAATCAGGGCTTGGAACCTTCCTAAGGCTTTTAATCCATCCTCACGTATTTCTGATTCCATATTCCTTCTGGGTGAGCTCTTGGAAGTACTGGAGTGCCTTTGCCTCATCAGCACATTTTATTTATTTAGTTTTCTTTACAGTCTAGGCTTTTCACTGTATTCACTTTTTTATTGGCTGGCAAGTAAAAAAATTGTACGTGCTTACGGCATACCACATAATGCTTTGGTATACATACACACACCTTGTGGAATGGCTAGGTCATGCTCTTGAACGTCAGTGCATTTTAATAGCATCTGCGAATTTAACTGATAGAAAGAAATTGTATTTTAAAGGCAATCTACAATAGCTGGCTCCGCCATTTTTTTTAACGGTCAGTGATTTAGAGCCAGGGTGAATATTTTTTTTTTCCTTTTCCCTTCTAGGAGTTTTCTCCTTCTTAATGAGCCAGCCATGCCTTCTTGTTTGTGTCTCTGTGACCTTAAGGAAGTGCCCAATTTTGGTCATCAAAAAAAAAAAAAAAAAAAAGACAAAAAAACCTCTTCCAATAAAAAAAACAATGCGGGCCTGAAGAAATTTAAGGGTGCGCCTCTGATAACACCCTGTCAAGTAAAACCATCATTTTACGGCTTGGATGGACAATGAGAAATTCCAAACCTGAACCTCAAAGCGAGGTGATTCCAACATCACCTTGCCGGAGGGTTATCAAAACTAGTCGTGGGCACGTCGCTGCAGGCGGGGTCGATATATGATGCTCCTCTGATATGTTTCAAGACCTCTCTCCTTCCGTCTCCTCCTCCTCTCTCCTCTTCTTCTTCCCTGTCCTCCATGACTACTTCTTGACTTTCCTTTATTTTCGTTCAGGTCATCGGCACCGGACCTCTGGGAGAAAAAGGGGAGCGGGGCTACCCTGGAACCCCGGGGCCCAGAGGAGAGCCAGGCCCGAAAGGTAGCTCTCCTGCCTTTGTTTCCTCCGTCCTCCTCTCCCTCCTTCTCCTCTTCCTCTTATTCACCCTCCTCTTCCTTTTTATTCTCCTCCTCTCGCTGCTTCTCCACCTTTTTTCCCTCTCTCCCCCTCCATCTCTTTCTGGTTTCCTATTTTTGGCCTGCACACATCCCTGCTCTGAGAGCACTGGCAGGCCTGCTGGACTGTCGGGTGACCGAGTTTTCTCCAGGTTCCTTGTCCTTGAGCCCTCTCCCCCAGCCTCAGGAGCCCAGCCTCTCCCCAGAGGACACGCCAGTGGCTTCCAGCCCTGCTTTCTCTGTCTTCCTCAAGCATGGAGGCTTATGAGTGCATGAAGCAAGACTTTGAAGAGAGACATAAAAAGTATGTATCAGTGGGTGAACGATTCCGTCTGTTTCTCTTTCCAGGTTTCCCAGGAATACAAGGCCAACCAGGCCCTCCAGGTGAGACTCCACTGATTTTTTTTTTGAAGTTTTATTTTGCAACGCATTTCTACACTTTCAACGTGGTTCAGGTTCTGGACATGTTTGTCGTGCCCATTAGTTATTTGCATAAAATAGCTGACGATATTACGGCACAGTTTTCTAGCTATGAAAGCAAAGTGCGTTCATGGATTAGTGTGTCTTTTGTATTTTATGAGGCACAGGTCAGCATGTCTTAATGGCCATGCACACTGGATGGGACACAGTACCTCTCCCCTGGGGACTCTGACCTCTCTGCCCCACTCTGACCTAACCCGCCGGAGCTGGCCTGTCCCCCTCCTTCCCTGTGGCTCCCGTGGGCATGTCCTGTCTTTCCACCCACCTCTTCATTCCAACAAAGATGAACCCTTTCCGCCTCAGCATCTTTGTTCTACTTTCCCTGCTCTTGGGGATGTTTCTCATTGGAGAGCTGACACCAGGACGCACCCCTTCCACGGGGGCCAGTCCCAGGCCGCTCTCCCATGGACCCAGGCTTCACTCAGCATGAAAGTACCTAACAGACTAGGAGTTGTCTCCATATGTGTGCACAGACACTTGTGGTTTTCTTCCTGGTCCCAGAGCACAGAAACTAAACATCTGACAGAAACTCTCATCACCGCCTTAGAATGGCCGCCCAGCTGAGTGCTCACAGCCTTTGAGATTTCACTTCATTTTTTGTAAAATTGATTTTTGTTTTTATCTATCTTGTTTGTCATTTTATTTTTTCCTTCCCGAAAGGTCTGAGTTATGCCAGAGCCCTTTTGTTCCTTTTGGGGGAAACTGAGGACATCCCTCCTCCCAGCCTGCACCTGGCTCACGGCAAAGCCTTCTCCGTCTCCTGCTGTCCCTCCTTTCTATAAAAACTTTTGGTTCTACCCTTAAAAATCATCCCTTGTCTCTATTTTCAACCACTCTCTTCTCCGATTCTAGGGAAAGTAGGACTTTGTGGCTATCCAAAGCGGGCACCATGCTTACTCTTGCAATCGTTTGTCTACACCTTAGGGTCTCTTCACCCAGACTTTTGAAAAGGCCATTGAGATGGCTGTGTCAGGAGAAGAATCAGCGTCCCCTTCCCCAAACCACCGTCCCCTCTCCCGCCCAGCCCCACCCACAGTTCATCTGTGACCCCATCCCGGCCACCGCCCCTCCCCTGGGTTATCTGACCTTCCCCCTCACATCCTGAATTGCCGGGCTGGCCTCCCACCTGGGTCATTGCTCCTTGTTTCTCTCCACGAGAAGTGCTTCCTCTCCTCATTCACGCTAATTAGGGAACTTGGTGTTTGTAGGGAACTTGGTATTGGGCTGGCGCCCAGGTGGCCTGCCTGCAAGTCTGTGCTGTCTGGCGGGTTCCCTCACCAGTGACTCCAGCATCTTAGATCTGCGCACCTCTCCTGGAATGCTTCCCTTCCCTCTCCACACGATCCTTCCACGTCTTCCCCACACCTCTTTCCTCACCTGCCCTGTATTCCCACACTATCCCTCTTCACAGCCCGGTGCTGGATCCAGAACTGGCTGTTTCCTCTCTAGAACAGCAGAACCTTCTTAGGCGGCCTCTTGAATCCTTAGTCTCTCAGGCGTGACGTCAGAAGCCTTCTCAGCCGCCCCAGCACCATATTGTCTTAGCCTGTGGAAGTCTATGGTGGCTGAAGTTGACATCACGCATTCGGACCTAATTGCTACTTTGACTTCAAGCCCTTTCCCCAAACCATCTTCCTTGTCCTCCACTTTCCTTCTCTGCGCTTTCTCTTAGAATCCCAACCTGGAGTCCATTATTCTCTCAAGCGTGATGCCAGAAGTCTTCTCAACCCTTCCAGCGCCATGTTGTCTTAGCCCATAGACGTCTGTGGGCTGAACTTGACTTCACGCATTCAGACCTTATTGCTACTTTGACTTCAAGCCCTTTTTTCAAACCATCTTACTTATCTTTCGCTTTTCTTTTCTGCTTTTTCGCCCAACACGGTGACCTCCCCCCCTTGGCTTCAGGTTCACTTTTGCTTTGACGCTTTTATTCTCCAAGTAAAAATGCCGTGCACCCTCTACAGCCTTCTCTGTCACACCCTGGGGATACTATTTGCACTGAAAGAGATTCAGGGAGTTTAATGTCTCGGTCATGAGTCCCTTCCCCTTAAGGTTAATTAAGGAAGCATTTGGTCCGTCAGCAATCAGTGCTAAGGAGGCTTCCGGCTCAGTCTGGTTTCATTTGTCCTAGACAATGTGGTCCCCTTTCAGTGATGGCTAGTGGTCATTTCGCCTGGAACAGAGTTAAGAAAAGGAATTTTTTTTGCTGTAGATGTGAAACTGCCTTGAGATGACTCACCTGGGGTTTTGTGCTACTTGCAGGGTTCCCTGTGCCTGGACAGGCTGGTGCTCCCGGCTTCCCTGGGCAAAGAGGAGAGAAGGGTGACCAGGGATTCCCAGGAGTTTCTTTGCCAGGACCAAGTGGAAGAGATGGGCCCCCCGGCCCTCCTGGCCTCCCCGGCCCCCCTGGACAACCAGGCCACACGAGTAAGTTCCCTTGGAGATGATTTCATGGGTATCCAGGCAGATGCCCAGGCATCCTATGACCTAGGCTGGGTTCTCTGAGGGCTCCCAAGAGACAGAGCCCGAGACAAAGGGTTGACACCCAGTGGCGTGTTAATGATTCATCCCCACGTGGGTATCTTCACAGAGTTAACCGCGCTCCAGAAAGGAATGGTTAAAAGAAAATAATAAGACTGGCTTAGAGGAGTTTACATGTTAACCAGCTCTGAGACTCCTGGCATCTAAAATTTAAAAAAGCAAGCCCATTGAGTTGTGTAGTTTTTATTGAAAGCAGAATGCATTCTGTTTCACCTAGAGAATACAAATCAACACACACACACACACACACACACACACACACTAAGAAAAGATTGCATGAGTATAGATTACATTAGTAAAATCCAGAAAAACTGAGTGCATGGTACTGAACTCTTGACTCAGTTGAGGTACCCGTGTGATCCCAAAGCAAACTGTCAGAAAATGTCCGGGGATTCAAGCCAACGGGCCCAACAGGACTGTGCTCAGGTTTCTAAGGCAGCCCTTTGGGACCCACTGGATCCAACCCAACCCGTACTCCGTGGAGTTCCTGAAACACGAATCCGCCGTGTGGCTGAGTCAAGAAGGATGTGTGAGCCCTCAGTACCAGGAATATTTTTCTGCTCAAATTCCGACCTATCTCTGGGAGTTCTCATGGGTGAGGCTGGATCAGGAGGCCGGACAGGGACTTGGTGGAGACACTGATTCCAGACTGGCGACTTCCTTGGGAAAGGATCAGTATGGATTTGGGGAGGAGCAAGAACAGGTCCTATGCGAAGTTATAAAATGCCCTGCTCTTATGATCGTGGGAAACGTGGAAAGTGAAGATGAATTGTTGGAGTCCCGGAGTGACTCAATCCAAAGTCAGTTTTTCTCTGTGGGTCCCAGGGTAGGTTGTGAGCTCATCCCAGTGGCCTAGGGGTTCTGGACTCGTTCAACAGGGTGGGAGTGTCCCCGAGGCAGCAGGCGCTGGTCTGGAGGCAGTGACAAGACCCAGGAGCATTCCTGTCCCTTCGGGGCGTGCATTCTCTGGGGAAGACTGGGATCAACCCAGGAGCCAAGTGGATGATCTGGAATGTGAGGCATGATGAGGGCAGGATAAACACAATCAGGAAAGTCAGCAGGGATTTCTGTGGGGGGGGCGGGTGGCTCAAGGGATTATGACTTTAAGTATAGTATCTGCAGAGACAGGAAGGGGGTGAGGGATCCAACAGTGGGACCGCTGGGAAAAGGACTTTTTCTGGATATCTGTAATTTTGCGAGTACCAAACTATAAACACATTTTATGTAAAAATAGGAACTTTCCCACTTGTGTTGGTTGAATAGGCTGTGTTAGCGGAACACATCGTCATATCTGCCATCCCAGTTTTCCAGGCTGCCTTTTTTTAGTCCATGTAAATTAGGTAATTCCCAGTCACAGTGTATTAAGTGATCATTGAGAAATGAGATTTTCTATTCAGATTCGTCATGTACGATATAGAGGCTGCATCTTAAAGCGATCGCTGCCTTGGGACCCATCAACCGCGCGTGAGCCAGGTAGCACAGAGAGATGTCTCCCTCCTGATCCCACAACTGCATTCTGGTCTCAGATGGTTACGGCCAGCTTGGTGCCATCTGTGACGCCTCAGTGAGCACATCTTTCCTGATGTGAACTCCAGACTGGCATTCTGGATCTCCTCAGAAATAATCGCTCTGTTCTTGCTTTAGGCTTAAAATTATTTTAAGCTGGCTTTGGTGAGGGAGCGTCGTTGCTTTTCCCCCAGTAGCTCAGGGACGGCTCTTTGAAACATGAAATGGACCGCCTCTGTGGCACCAACGGTAGTAGGATCATAGCCATAGCTTCGGGGACAAATCGTCCTCACTTGCTGGGCTTTGTTGGAGAAGGAAACTTGGGGGAAAAACAATCCGCCAACTAAGCAAGAAAGCCTTTGTGCTAGCTTCAATCCTGACACATTGGAAACTCACTTTTTCTGCTGAGTTCTAAACAAAGTCACAACGCAAAGAGGTTTTTGGCTCTTTTAAAGCATTCTTGTTCTAGCTTGGGAGAGGGGCTTGGAAAGCTGGACCCTGGGTAACGTGTCCAAGCCAGAGAAAAGGCCCCACCCAAACCCCGGGCTCTTTCTTTTGCAGGGGACTTGGGTGTGCAAAGGACTGTCTCGGCCTCTGTCCTTGGCTCTCTGTCATTGTGTGAAGACTCTGTAAGGAGGAACGGAGATTGGGGGGGTTCAGCTCTGGTCCGTGAATGTTGGGATTGAGGTTAGGATGGAATGCCTGGGAAGAAATGCTCGATGTTAAATTGTTCACTCTGTCTTTTTCTTCAAAGATATTATAGAAGGAAATAGAAACTCGATCACAGTGTGTATCCGGACTACAAAACACTCCTTACTATTTTTTTTTACTGGGACCCATGACAGATGGCGTTTGCGTTACTGTAATTTATTTTCATGCCTCTTCACAGAGATGATGTTCAGAATTGAATATGAACAAACAATTTGAGGCCTTTCCTCATGCTCAGGATGCATCTCTAAAATGATGATTACTTAGCTGTAAATTGGCTTGGATGGGGTGAGGAATAAAATTGTTCTAGTCTCAGTTCTGACTTAATGGATGCATGACCCCGGGCAAATCACTTGATTTGTTTGAGCCTCAGTTTCTTAATCCGTAAAATGAGGACAATGGCGTGTGCTTTGCAAGATGAAATCGAGTCATGTACAGTCATGAACTGACAGTGCTTTAGAATTCGTGCAGTGGAAACATTAGCAGTGTGTGTCGGGAGGGCGAGGGGGTGATGGGCCATGTATGCTGACTGTGTTCTGAAAATTGATCTCTCAAGGTTCTTTTGGAGCAAACGAAAGCTGAATTTCTAACACTTACCAAATCACCTAAGATATTTTGGTTTTATACCAGAAGTTGAATTAAGAGATGGTAACAACACCAGTTGTGATCCTGTAACTTTCAATACTCAATTTCAGATGGTATTGTGGAATGTCAGCCTGGACCCCCAGGTGACCAGGGTCCTCCTGGAAGTCCCGGGCAGCCTGGATTGACGGGCGAAATTGGAGAGAAAGGTGAGAGATTTTGATTAATTCTAAATGTGATTGTGTCTGTACAAGCGTTTTCTTCACCGCACTCTTGCTGGCTTTGGAGTTGGTGAGGTTGGGCTTAGGTATAGTCCTTCTTTTTTTTGTAGGTCCTTTCAAAATCCATTCCTGGAATAAGTGTCTTCCTATAACTCATTTGAAAGTGTCTTCCAAAGTCTGGGAGGGAAAGGCAGGGATGTTGCCGACCTGAAGGCCAGACGTGTGGCTTTCCCGTTTTCCACAGGCAGTGAAGTCAATCTTGCTATTGTGGTCACAGTGGGCAGATTCAATTCGCATACTGACTTGCTACTGTAATCTTTCCATTCAAAGTTTGTGAGCTCTGTTATCAAAGAATGCACGTCCCCCCTTTAAGCCAAATCACAAATCTCTGTGTGGAATGCTCACTACCCCTCCAAGCCGTGTTTGCATAATCAGGGTGAGCAAATATGCTGTTAATGGATTAACCAGTATCACCCTAGGTTCTCAGTTTCATCTTTGATCTTTCCGAGTGTTTGCTGTCACGTCAATGCAGCACACATATTCACCTCTTCAGCCTTCCTGAAAACAGGCAGATTATCAGTACATCAACAGTCCTGTCTTAGAGTGGAATAAACAACAGACACTCCAATATTTACATGCCTGTTAATAGCCCGAGAGTAGAACAAAAAGGAAACCTCACCCCCCAAGTCCGCCCCATTGTGTGCCATTGCTGGCTATGGATTGTAAATGTTTTTTAGTCTTCAAAAGGCTAAAACACAAATGGTGCATGGAAAACACTTTTAGCTAGGATCTTAGAATTCTGACAGCCACATAAATTGCAGAGTCTTAGATGGAACTGATCTAAAAGCCATCACGGGGTGCCACCGATCAGTGCTCACTTGCCATTTGGTTTTTAATGAGTCCCTGTAGTTAGCAGATGCTTAGTATTTTCTGAGGTGGGCAATTCTGTCTTATGACAGATCCAATGACCAGAGCCTTTTTGCACTGAAATCTTACTTACCCATCCCCTGGATGCCAGGAGAAGGATCTGCTTTCTTCCCTGTATCTTGGCACTCCTGGTACGGTGCTGTCAGCCCAGCTGGACTTCACTTTGTCTCCCCACGTACCTCGAGCCGTGTGAGCAGAGATACCCACCAAATCCCCATGCCAGGAACTCAGCTGGGTTTCTTAGCTGAGTGAGATGGTGCCCATCCTCTGAGGAGCTCTGGTTCTGTCTCCGGGAAGAACAAAATGAAGCCGTGTGCCTGTGCCCACTCTTCAGGGTCCTGGCCTGCCTGTTCTGGCTCTGCTTTCATTTCTGACAGTGGGCCTTGCCAGAGTGGGCAGTGGAAGTGTCTGCCGCTGGGGCTGCCAGCCAGGGCGAGTGTGGGTGGGGGCTGATACAGACGCACTGCCACAAGCTCCTTAGCGTGGGTTTCTCCATGAGCAATGTTTGCTCGATTTTATGCCTGATTTTTGCCTAGAAACCAGACATCTTAAGGTTTAAGGCACAGGCCAATCTAAGGCACCGTAAAGGCCTTTAAGCTTAGTTTGAAAATCAGGACTTCCGATGTTAGCACTTCCAAAGAAGGGAATCTCCTCCCGTTTTTCAGGTTTGCAGCCTCTCTTCTCTTCTGTCCAGGGTGTCAGGTCAGATGTCTGTTCTTGCCTTTGTGGCTTCTGATTCACATTATCCATAGCCAGGGAAGTCCATGAGCTAGACTAAGTACTCAAAGAGAAAGGACACGGAAGCTTTAGAATTAGACACAATTGCAATGGTCAGTCTTCTCAGGCTGGTAGAGAAGATTGGATTATTTCTGGACCACTTCTTTGTTTTTTTTTTTTTTGAGTTGGAGTCTCACTCTGTTAACCAGGTTGGAGTACAGTAGCACGCTCATGGCCACTACAGCCATGACCTGCTGGGCTCAAATGATTCTTCCGCTTCAGCCTTCCAAATAGCTGAAACCCCAGGCATGTGCCACCATGAAAATAGCTGAAACCCCAGGCATATGCCACCATGACTGGCTATTTTTTTTTTTTATTATAGAGACAAGGTCTCTCCAAGTTGCTCAGGCTGATCTCGAACCCGTGAGCTTAGGCAATCCTCTCGCCTCCACCTCCCAAAGTGCTGGGATGACAGGCATGAACCACTGGGCCCGACACTTCTTAGTGAGGTGGCCCCTGTCCTTTTGCTGGAGAGAGATTCGAATCATTAAGCAGTACACAAGGGTCACGTGACTTGTGCTGAAGTGGGTGTGTTCGCTGACAGAGAGAGGGTCACACATCTGATGGCACTCCCTGCCCATGAGCGAACCATTGGGAACCAGCAGTTTGGGGCAAAACACCTTTAATGCCAGGCTTGCCTTTTGTTCTCCCTATACACCTCGGAGACTTCTGTTCACACATTCCGTATAAGCACCCTGTATTTCTCTTTTTAGGTCAGAAAGGAGACAGTTGCCTCATCTGTGACACAGCAGGGCTTCGTGGGCCTCCTGGGCCACAGGGACCCCCCGGAGAAGTAGGTAAGACCCCACATGTGAGAAGAGCCACATCAGAATCTGCTTCAATGCCTTGACACCCTTACCGTGAAACAGACCTTATGCCACCCAAGACCGCATGTCCTGCGTTCAAGGCTAAAACATGATGGAGATTTTAAACCCCACTTCCAGGGTGCTTCCACATTGCAGAAGGGGATCATGATGGCCCCTAACTTTGGCCTGATAACGATTTCCCAATAGGAGGATAGCAGTGTGACCGTCCACCCAGTTCCACAGACTTAGTTATCACAAAAGAAGTCAACGGAAGTTTTTCCTTAAAGTGGTCCCTGGGGGTGTGAGTGGGAGGGCGGGGCGGGGAAGGGGTGCTGGTAGCCATCCTGCTTTGGGGGTTACTCATATGCATTTGGGGTTACAGTTTCCCTTATGGAGCCCCTCTTGGGCATCTTGGTTATTACTCTCTTGATATTCTTCAAACAATCATCCGCTTCATAGAAAGACTTTTGACGCTTTTGAATCTTGAAGGACAGAAAGGTTTTGAAGAAGTAGTTCATGAATGCTGTACTGTCCTTTTTTCTGTCTCTCATGAAAGGTTTCCCAGGACAACCAGGGGCCAAGGGCGACCGAGGTTTGCCTGGCCGGGACGGCCTAGAAGGATTGCCTGTAAGTAAGCCTGTCTGAGCTCACATACACATTAGAAGTTGCCACCGAGCAAATCAGCAGAGTTGGATGTTTCTGCATTTGCAAATGTGACTTCTGCCTTCTGTGGGAGCTGGTAGGGCACCACCGTCATGCCCGCTAGAATTATGCCCTGTGCCCTCCTCGCACGGAAATGGGCATCACCCAGAAGCCCAGAGCCCGCATTGCCTCCACCTCGGAGTTTCCCCAGTTGGAATCTAGCTGCTACACACCTGTGTTCAGGTGCAGAGGGAGGGGATGTGTCCTCCCCGCAGGGCCTCTGGGGTTTGGGTGTCACCTCTGAGCAGCCACACTGCAGAGTCGAACCGCCATCTCTCTGTGTTCCCGTTGCTGGTGACGTCACCCCAGCTCATCTAGAATCTTGTGAGTGGGTAGGTTTGGCATCAGTCGTTTCTATGGAGATGTCAAGAAAATTGGACCTGTTTCTCTCTGAGGATCTGAAACATGTTTTTCTTCTTACAAGCGTGTGTTTTGAAAGTTCTCACTGCTGACATCTATTGGATAGATGCATCGACACGAAGCCGTTCGGTTAAACAACATACCCACTTGTTAGCTTTTCTGATTTGTTTTAAAGGAAGACACTCAAGAGAATAATAAAATCAATCATAAATATTGCACATGAACGCAATGAAATAAGGACGTTATTTCATTGCATGTAATCAGTTCCATTTCTGAAGCTTTAAGTCTTTTGGTATTGTTCCCTTGTATTCTCTCTGTTCTTCTAAGCTTTGTAAGCATTGACTAGTTTCTACAGTTTCTTTTTGTCAGAAATTGAAGGTCAAATTTTTAATGCTGTCTCTATCTGTTATAGCTCTTTAATTTTTTAAAATTTTATTTAGAAGCTGCTAGAAGCTTCTAGAAAGGAAGACCAGGGCAAGAGTGAGCTGAAATAGGAATGAAGCAGCTGGAATTCAGCAATCGTTTTCCCCTTTTGAAGTTAGGTCTTTGGGCTTCTGCTTCCCAGAACTTCCCTGGTGCCTGGGGAGCAGAGTTAGAAGTTGCAATTATTTAAAATATTTCTAAATAAATTAGAAGTTCAAATAACTGAGGAGCCCTGACTGCAGTGGGGATCAAAGGCAGAACTTTGAAGAAAGCAGAAAAGGCTGCTTTTAACCCCTGTCCACTGCCTTCGTCTCCTGGGTTTTCCTGGTGGACTTCCTGCCTTAACATTGGCTGGAACCCAATCCAGACGCCCCCACCCCCAGCTCCCCAACCAGAGATGGAAAAAGAGGAGAGGTCAGGGAGAAGGACCAACTATTGAGGAAAACTCATGAAAAAGAAGAGAATAAAGAAAACATGTACCACACACATTCTACTCCCTGGGTCTTCCTCATCAGGAGATCATTTCTTTCCATAGATGGAAAAAGATAGACTTACGGGTAAATAATCGAATGGAGAGGGTCATTTTCCTTTTATTTGAAGCTGTGTCATAGCTCTGTGGTTTAACCAGCTCAAAAATGTGGCCCGTTTATTCTGCATTTGGCTGGAGGCTCTAAAGAGGTCTGCACACACCAGCACACTGCAGCTCAGATTAAAGTTAAGAAGCGGTAACGGGCCCTGGCTTGTCGTTTGATCTAGATGGCATTTTCTGTGACATTTCTCTTTGAAGGCCAAGTGCTTGATTTGGGGGGAAAATTGACGGATGACACAAGGCTGACCCCCCAAGTTGGTCTGAGCAGTTTCCATGCTTCCTGGTCACCGGGAGCATTCGTGGACACTAACCCTGACATTTTCCACAGGGGTCCGCTTTTAGAAGCAACCGGCATAGGCATCAGACCTGCTCTAGTTGATCCCGCTGGTGCGAAATTCTCAGCGTGTGGTTCCTTAGCGTGTGTCTTAAAGCATGTGGAGCAAAAGTCCTTTGAACCGCTTATGATCAAGCAGCCCCGTGGTAAAGAAACCACACAAGAAGTCCTAGGGTCACCCATGTCACTGTTTTAAACATCTAGATTTCTCCCTAACTAGGATGGCAGTCAGCAAGGTCATCGTTGCTCAAATTAAAATTTGCATTGTCTCCCCTTCAGAGCACAATTTTGGAGAGCTTTATTTTTTAGGCTGTGAACAGTCACCATAAAATGATGTAATGGTGTTTATAGGTTGGGGAAAGTAGATGCTGGTAATAATTTCTCGCACTGTTTTTTTTTTTGAGTTGTAGTCTCACTTTGGCACCCAGGTTGGAGGGCAGTGGCACGATGATGGCCACCCCAGCGTCAATCTGCTGGACTCCTGCAATCCTCCCACCTCAGCCTTCCAAGTAGCCCGAACTACAGGCACACGCTACCACGCCCGGCTAATTTTTGATTTATTGTAGAGATGAGATCTCACCAAGTTGCCCAGGCTGTTCTCGAACCTGCACTGGTATTTTTCACGGACGGATATTGCCGGTTCAACACGTCCCTCCTTCAGTATCTACCTGGCTGCAGACATCAAGGATGCAAAGTTAGGAAACCCAGATCCTGCCCTCAGTCCCAAAATACTAGTGGAGGCCGGGCTTGGTGGCTCAGCCTGTAATCCCAGCACTTTGGGAGGCTGAGGCGAGTGCATTGCCTGAGCCTGCAGGTTCGAGGTCCGCCTGGGCAACTTGGCAAGACCTCGTCTCTACAATAATCAGCAAAAAATTAGCCAGGCCTGGTAGCATGTGCCTGTAGTTCTGGCTACTTGGAAGGCTGAGGCGGAAGGATCGCTGGAGCCCAGCAGGTCGAGGCTGCGGTGGCTGGGAGTGTGCCACTGCACTCCAGTCTGGGCGACCGAGTGAGACTCCAACTCAAAAAAACCCCAACAATACTAGTGGAGACAGATCTGCCGACAAATGTTCCTAATGAAGAAACAGTCTGTAGAACGAGGATCATACAGTATTCCAGAAGGCAGCCTGTGCTCCCCGAGACCCTTCACAGAGGAGTCTAGCTTTAGCTGGGTTTGAGAATGTGCAAGAGGTCATATGAACCCAGGAGAAACAGTCTAAAAATCTCACGGCAACTTCCACTAAATCATGCCTTTTCTAGGACCATCTGCTCAAGTTTCTAGCAGGTGTCCGGTGGAAAGAATCCGTTGCCCTTCTTAGGACCAGAGCAAGGAGGCCAGGGGTTTTCTGCTTTTCCTGAGGAGATGTGGTGAAGTGTCCCAGGTATAAGGGGCATCCTAGCTCAGGGCCAACTCGGGTCTTCTAGGACCTTCTGCCATGATGTCCCATCTGGCACAGTCCCTGGCCAGCGGTGGCTGTTAAGGCCCTGAAATGTGGTCAGTGTGACTGAGGAACTGGATGTTTTATGCTATTTAGTTCAAATTTCCAAATAGTATGGAACAGTGCAGGCAGCTGGATGGCGTTGGGTGTGCGTTCAGGAGTCAGTCAGCGTGTGTCCGTTAGCGCAGGAAGGGCAGCCGCTCTGTTCCTTGGGCTGAGTTGGTTTAGGTCCTAGGAAGCGGTGGGGAGGAAAATAAACCAGCCCCATCAGGTTAGTCCCAAATCTGCCACTTGTCTGACTTAGAGCAGGACATGGATGACCTTCAAGCCCCATCTCTGCACCTGTGAAATGGGCAGGTTTTACTAGACCACATCTAGTTTCCATGAGCACTTGATGCAGGAGCGTGAAATACAAGTTTTGCAGTCAGAAATGCACACATGGGGGTCCCAGCTCCAGCCCTTTCTGGCTGGGTGGCCTGGGCTCTGTTTCCTGACTTCTTGGAGTGCCAGTCTCTTTTTCTACTAATTCCTGGCTTCCATGTTTTCCTTGCAGAGTTGCTATAGGATCAGAGATGATGAAGAAAGGGCCAGGACACACAGTAGGCGGGTCCTCAATGCTGGTCATATTGTATTTTACTTACTTATTTTTAAGTGATTTATTTTTTGTAGAGATGAGACTTCGCTATGTTGCCCAGGTTGGTTTCGAACTCCTGGTCTCAAGCGATCTTCCTACCTCAACCTCCCAGTGTGCTGGGGGCACGCCCGGTCCTGGTTGTATTTTAGATATTGGACAATTTCTGGTCTGTGCTTGCTGGTCCAATGTATCCCTTTGAGAAGTCTACAGAGGATATATTTTAATAACGGGAAAAAAGTGTATTGAAATTGCAACACTCAATATGTACCAATAGCAAAAGATGGATACAAGTCACGTTTGACTTCTGCAATTACAAGAAGGGCTCAAAGCCTTTACCATCAGTGTCCAGACACTTCTGATGATGGTGAGCATCTCTTAAAATTTGTATGATTTTTTTTGGGCACCCCTTGGTGTCTTATAGGCACACACACAGGTGTGCACATGTATGCAAATCACAGGTATCTAGGTCCTCCTGAGAGGGAATTTATGAAAAGAAATTCACATGAAGCAAATTGTGCCCGAGCTGAGATTCTTCAGCAGGGAGTCTGAAGATGTCTTCCTCGGGGCTCAGGGAACAGGGAATTGGGACAATTATTTGAAATATTTTTTCCTTTCCTTGTAAACCTGGACTCCCAGGCTGCTAAGGAAGAAACCGCTGGTGGGTGGGGGCCTTCCTTGCCAATTTAACTTTCCAGGAACTGAAAAATGTTCTGTGTGTATCTCTTGGGAAAGTCAGTCCGACTCTGCCCTCTCTCAGAATAGCTAATTATAGGGCTGGCCGGATGCTCACTTCCCAGTTTCCTTTCCCGCTGGTGCCCTGGAAGTCCTTATCTCTTCTGGAATTCGGGTGTGAGCGGCACAGGAAGCCTGTGCAGTTAATGGCCAGACCCGGAGAACAATGGCTGTCCCCACTTTCCCTAAGGCCTCAGCCCCCTCCTGCACTCAGAAGACTTTGGATTTAGATGCTGGGCCCAGCAAGCCGCAGGTCAGCACCTCCTGACAGGTGTGAACCGTGCCAGGGAACGTACAGCTGTTGGAAGAGGAAAGATAGCCATCTGAGGATCCTTCTAAGACCCGTGTGCCCAAGGCCACTCCACGGCCCTCTGAACCCATCCCGATCTCTTTATTATTATTCTTTTAGATTTACTTTATTTTATTATAAACATGTGAGGTACAAGTCAGGATTAGGTTCATAAGTAATGTAGGTGCAGGTGAAGTTTGGGCCTCCCACTGGTCCTCACTTCCCTGGGTTAGGAACAGGTAGCCGACGTGTTGTTATGTGTCCCCTACTTCCTGGCAGTGTCTCAAGACTGCTGATCTTTCCCTTGTGCTACTGTGAGGAGTGTTCAGGTTCCCACTTATGAGTGAGAACACGTGGTGTTTGGTTCTTTGTTTCTGTGATAGATCGCTAAGAATGGTGGTCTTCAACTCCACAATTTGCTGAGAAGTTCATGGTTTTGTCTTTCTTTATGGCTGGTGTAATATTCCATCATGTATATATATCCGACACCCTCCTGCCCACTGAAAGTAGACTAGATAAAAAAAAATCGGGTCTCTTTCTGAAACGAATTTATTTCCAACAGAACTCTCTGTGTGAACCTAGTTAAGTATTTCTGAGAAAAGGCACAAGAAGGGAGTGTGTCAGGGTTTCACCACGGAGCTATTGGCTTGCTTCTAGAAAACGGATGATGTGATCTGAGTATGTGATCATTTCTGAGAAGGTAGCTTTTTGATTCTGTGGTTGACTGTGTTACAATCACCGGTGTGTCCTGTGGGGTCTTCTGTGTTGTCACACGCTTTGTTTTTGTAGGGACCACAAGGCACGCCAGGGCTGATGGGCCAGCCGGGAGCCAAGGGAGAGCCTGGCGAGATTTATTTCGACATGCGGCTCAAAGGCGACAAAGGAGACCCAGGTTTTCCAGGATCTCCTGGCATGCCGGGGAGAGCGGGGTCTCCTGGAAGAGACGGCCATCCAGGTCTTCCTGGCCCCAAAGGCTCGCCGGTATGTGTGTTTCCAGACTGAACATGCCTATTTATGAAAGTTAAGAAAAGAACTTTCTATTAAGAACTTTCTATTAAGAAAAGAACTTTCTATTAAGAACTTTCTATTAAGAAAAGAACTTTCTATTAAGAAAAGAATCATTTGAGTCACATCCACATATTTTCATTTGGATGATGGTTGGCATCAATGGACCGAGTAACAGTGATTCAGGTAACAATTGAGGTTTCTAGACCTGGGTGCGGCCATGTTGACTTGAGAGTTAGATGACGATGGGTCAGTCTTTTCCGATGCCTTTGGGCGAGTGGAACAGCTATGTCTGCATATCTTTTGCCTTGAATGGGAGGTGACAACTAAAATTAATAGTTTTTGTGTCATTGTTTAAAGGAAGACTCCAGATAGCTACATCTCACGCTTTGAAGACTCTTTTTAAGCGAGGGGGGAATGTACTGGGGTTAAGGGAAAGAAGGCTGGTTTCACTTATTAACCGCAAGTTGGCCTTCCTGGGGGTTGATAAAGTAAATAAATAATGTAGGCTGGTTAAACTCTGGAACTTATTCACTGCAGATGACAAGAAGAATGTGAGATGGACAGGGAGCTGGTGTGTCCACTGATAACGTTTCTTTCCGTCTTTTCCCACCAGGGCTCCGTAGGCTTAAAAGGAGAACGTGGCCCCCCCGGGGGAGTCGGATTCCCCGGCAGCCGTGGCGACATCGGCCCCCCGGGTCCAGCTGGATTTGGTCTGATTGGCCCCATTGGGGACAAGGGTCAAGCAGGCTTTCCTGGAAGCCCCGGGTCCCCAGGCCAGCCAGGTGAGGCCTGAGAACCTCTCGGTGCCACGTGAGGGGTGCAGACAGAGTTCTGGGCTCAGAGAGGTGGCGACTGAACTTTGCTGAGCTCTTCCAGGATGCGGGTGGGACCTGGGCAAGCCCTTTGGGTTCCCGTACCTCTCTTTCTTCATGCACCACACAGGCCAGGCTTGTGCCAAGTTCTGCCCAAAAAGGAATTTGCACTCGCAGATGATTTTTCTTATCAATGAACCCACAGTCAGTCCCAGCCAGTCGTTCTTTCATGGAGAAGCCATACCATCCAGAGGTCAAGGATCGTTTTTTTCCTCTTTGCTTGTTTGGCTCTCCTCTGATGATCAGTCCGTTTGGGCTGCCGTGTACCCCCAACCACATGACCGCCCCCCTCCCCAAAGATCACAGATGCCCGTTGACTGATTTCACAGCGGCTTCCACTTCTTGATAGCTGGCTAAGTCCATGTGGGGTTCAGTTGTTGGCTACTTTGTGAGTGATTCATGTGCCTGTCAGGTTTCAGAGATCTCACAGTAGGGGCCACATGGGCTGCTTCTGGTGTCCTTCTCTCCCCAAGACCCACTGGTGATCAGGGCCAGAGGAGAAAGGGCGTAGCTCTGGCCTCGCACACAGTGGGCGCTCTATAGTTGACTACCTGATGAGGATTCCAATAGGCGTGGAACATCCATGTCTTTCCCAAGAAAATCCTAGAACAAGACAGGCCAGGACCAGCTTGTTCCTGAAGGAGGGAAGTAAGTGTGCGTGGCTAGGAAAGTTTTTTTTTAAAGTTATAAAAGTGAATGGAAGGACTTAGGGGGATTAGTAAACCTTAAAAAACACAGTAACTAGCCAGATAATCGAAATAACAAGAGCGACGCTGAAACAGCTGCATCATGCCTTTCTTGTTCACAAGTGTGCTGATTCCGTCAAGAGCCATGCCTCTAGGCAAGTCTTATCAATTCCCGTCCCCACTGGAGACTGGTGCTTCCCCATGAAGATGTTGTGTGGCCTAGGAGCGTGCCAGCATAGAAAATGCCAGTTGGACTTTGATGCAAGCCCGAGGGTCATGCTCTGACCTATCTGTTATCATCCTTCTCCCTGTCTGTATAACTCTGATTCCGTTGGCGGCTGCTCTTTATTTAGCAAGGCCCTAGAAATGTCTTCTTTCTATCTCCTGTAGAGGTAGGATGATCCTGGATTTGGCTTAGGAAGACCCCGTGAACCGGGCAAAGAGACCTGCAGTTACCTTCCCTCAAGCTCCTGATGCCACAATCAGCAGGTCACCCACTCTTTGCCCTTGTGACATCTGCAAGTTTTCAGAGCTGTCAAAAGGACCTTGACTCACTTTTTTGGACGAAAACTACCATCAGAAAAACCAGCCGGGGTCTTCACAGCAAGAGGGGGAAGGAAGGGATTTCCTGGGGTGGAGTGTGTGGACAGCACGACTGGTCCCCAACCACAGCTTGTAGGGCCCCTTGGCCATCCAGACCCCGTCAGCTCCGAGATTAGAACACAGAGCTTCACTGATCCGCCAGAGCTGGGTTTGACTTTGCCGATCATGAGAGCCTGGTCCCCAGGGTGTGGTCGATAGCCCCTCTCCTCAAACCGGTCAGCTTGTGCCTCCAGCAGCCTGTTGTTCAAGAATGTTCCAGGAAGACCTCACATCCCTTGAGTTCTTATGAGATCTGCCCGGAGGAGGTGGCACGTGCGTTCCTGGAGGGGTCCCTTTGGTCCTATCTCCACAGCTAAATCCTGATACCCGGTGGGTTTCCTAGGCAGGGGCGCCCAGTGGCTGGGTCTGCAGCTCCCTGCCTGGAGGAAGGGCAGATGTCTTGTGCTGCTCTAGTGAGTGCAGGCCTGCAGTCGTGGGTGCTTCCTCACCGCCCAACACATCTGTCACATTGCTTGCGTAGTTTACCATCAATGAACTAATTCAGGTCAGCCTCCGAGCAGCTTAGCATTTGTCTGAGCAACTGAGAGAGAACAGTGAATGTGTTTCGATCTTTTGGGGGGCAGGCTTGTTAAGAAAGTACCCAGGACCCTCTCGCTGTTGGTTATTGTAGATTTTTTTTTTCAGCTTTTCGTGACTCTGATTTTGGACTCTGAAGGAGGCCATTCTTGGGTCCATCAAATATCTTGGTCATTTTTTATATAGGCTTAGAGGAGAAGACCGATTCTCTGTGAAAGATTCGAGAGGCTGGGAGCGGTGGCTCATGCCTATAATTCCAGCACATTAGGAGGCTGAGGTGGGAGGATCGCTTGAGCCCAAGAGTTTGAGGCCCATCTGGAAAACTTAGCGAGACCTCATCTCTACAAAAAAAAAAAAAAAAAATCAGCCAGGCTTGCTCCTGTAGTTCCATCTACTTAGGAGGTTGAAGCAGGAAGATTGCCTGAGCCCAGGAAGTCCAGGATGCAGTGAGCCATGATTGTGTCACTGCACTCTAGCCTGGGCAACAGAGTGAGACCCTGACTAAAAAAAAAAAAAAAAAAAAAATTCTGGAAATGTGGAGGGAGGAGCTGGAGAATGCAGAACAAGGCTTTGGTCCTGGGCGCACATCTGTGTGAGGATTTGGTGTGTGTCCTCAGGCCTGGCACCCTTTCCTGTTCTCGCCTTTCTCCCATCTGTTTCTCATTCTTTTATTTGTTGTCCTTGTTCTTTTTTCTCCAGGCCTCAAGGGAGAAGCAGGAAAAGTCGTTCCCTTACCGGGCCCCCCTGGAGCAGAAGGACTTCCAGGGTCCCCAGGTTTCCAAGGGCCCCAAGGTACGTTTAGAGTTCCAGCTCACCCAGGCACAGAGGGGCCTCCTGACATGCTTCCCATGCTGACCGCTGGGCTTTCTCACAACAGGTGACCGGGGCTTCCCTGGAACTCCGGGACGACCAGGCATCCCGGGAGAGAAGGGCGCCATGGGCCAGCCGGGGATTGGATTTCCGGGGCCTCCTGGCCCCAAGGGTAAGCCTCCTGCGGGATGGGCCTCACCCCTTCCTCCGTGACATCAGCCAGAAAAGAGGAGAATATAGAGAGAGCGCACCCCATGAGTTACGGCCATGCGAGGCGGGGCTCTCAGGAGAGCCCATGAAGTTTTTTTCTTTGCGTTGGGGTTCATGTTCACGGACTCATCTTACCCCACAAGTGCCACATCCCTGCCATCACGGAAGGCCTCCTTGACTAGAGGCCCGAGGCCCGTGTGACCCAAAGTTGCTTGGAGACCTGGAGGCGGGGTGCGTGGTTAGCGCCACTCCCTGTCCAACCCCGTCTGGCCTCAGCCCCTCGGCGGGTGTGACTCAGGCCTGCACCTCAGCAAACCTGCCCGTGACTGCGCGTCACAGACCTGAGTGTCACATCAGAGGGTCTGACCCAGGGCTTGGCCGTCTCACGGCCTATCGTGCCTCCGGCGTGGGCCACAGACACTTGTCAGCTCTCCTCGGGAGACTGCAGAGTGTGGGTGCCACCTAGGATGGGAGAGCCAGTGGTCTGAAAGCCTTCTCAGACTTGGCTGTGACCGCAGGTCACATGGGATCTTGTTAAAAGGCAGGTGGGACTCTGCCGGTCCCAGGGATGGGCAGTACTCCGTCATCCAGGCCACCTTGGGAAGAAGAGTCCACAGTGCTCTTCTGAGTCTGCAAAGGCCAGAGTCTGTGTGCTTTGTTTGGGAGAGGGGAGAGAAAAGGGGAAAGCGAGTTGGATAGAAGGAAAGGCGGAGAGCTGGTGTGAGAGAGGCCGAGCTGTGCAGGGTGGGCTCTCCCTGCCCAGAAAGTCCCCTCCCCAGGGCTTCCCTGTCACCCGCTTCGAGCGAGGTCGGCACGTCTGGGCAAGTAGAGTGTGAGGAGAGCAGGCAACGGCGATGTAACTGGGTGTTTTCTTAACTTTCTGCGACAGGTGTTGACGGCTTACCTGGAGAGGTGGGAGCACCCGGCAGTCCAGGCCGCCCGGGGTTCAGCGGCTTACCTGGCAGTCCAGGGCCGCAGGGCCAGAAGGTGGGCACCACATTCCCTGGGCCACTGTCCCCCATCCTTGGGTTCTTACTCTCACAGGATATGTTGGGCCAGTGTGTTTTGTTTATTGGAGACATGGCATCCAATCAGTATCTAGCACCCGGCACTCAGTATTTTGAGGGGAAATACTTGTTTCAGTGTAATGAAATTTTATGATGTTTTCTTGCCTGTGTGTGTGCTGGGTCTGAGGGTAAGATCTGTTTCTTATCGTGAGTGACAGAAGAACAGTGTTGAAAAGCCACTATCATGAAAGCAATCATGGTTGCCCAGGAGGGTCCTCAGAGCGCCGTAGGCCTTTGCGTCTAGTCGTTCTTTCTTGTGGGGGCTGCCCTGTGCCCTGTCGGACCTTTGGCAGGAGCGTGTCTGGTCTCCGCCCACGAGACGCCAATACAGCACCCTCCACCCTCAGCTGTGACAACTGAAGATGTCTACAGACATTGGCAGGTGTCACCTGGGCGGCAAAATCGTTCCCGCTTGAGGGAGATTGTGGATCCTCCTTGCTCACAAATATTCTCCCACCAATTTGCTTGACCTTGAAATTCTGCTGGGCAAGTGTGAGTGGCCACAGATTAGACCCTTTTTTGTTCCTTTTTTTTGAGTCAAGAGTCTCACTCTGTCATCACCCAGGCTGGAGTTCAGTGGCATGCTCACGGCCACCCCAGCCTCTACCTGCTGGGCTCAGCCGATCTTTCCACCTCAGCCTTCCAAGTAGTTGGAACTACAGGTGTGTGCTACCACACCTGGCTTATTTTTTGATTTATTGTACAGATGAGGTCTCACCAAGTTGCCCAGGCGGGTCTCGAACTCCTGGGCTCAGGCAATCCTCTCGCCTTAGCCTCCCAGCTGGGAGGACAGGCTGGAGCCACCGTGCCTGGCACCCTTTCCGATCTGATGATAAGGAACAGAGGTGATATTGCTGGAGGGCATTGGTACTGAAGGGGAGAGAGGACCACAGGTGAATGATGAACTTGGCTATTGCTAGAACTGGACCGGATTTGCTCACGGTCCATCAGGAGAGGGCCAGTGGGCACAGGGCCAGCTATGACCCCGCCATCCCCAGGAGCTCCTTCCTGGGAAGTACCTGACGGCACAGTACTCCTCTCTGGTGGCTGAGCCCAAAGAGAAGCCTTGGCATGCCATCGGTTTCCCTTGTTGGACCTGAGTGTTCAGCCAATGGGTCACCTTAACCACGCAAAGCTCGAGTTAGCAAGCGCCCGTCGACTTGGGGCAAAGCACTTGGATTATGATGTAAAATATTGTGCCTTTCCAAGAATCCCTTGAGTGGAGTGCCCGCCATTGTGCAGACTCCCTGCTGGGATGCAGAGAAGCCACCCAGGCCCATGGACATCCAAGCACTCCTTACCTGGAAGGGTCCCTTGCAGAGGGAGGGTGGATACCAGTGGGACTGTGATGTCGTATCCTCCTGCTTGCTTCTGATGCCTGACATCTGTGGCTAGATTGAGGCCATTTTAAATTCGCCCTTGGCCCTGCAAAGTTCTTTCTTTTTAATCATCTGTATTCGTCAGGACACCTCGATCCATGCGGTAGTTGCAAATGTCCAATTTGCCGTGAAAACCTCCATGTATATGACAACTAAATATGTCCATGCTGGAGGCATGCTGCCTCTTAAGCAGCGTTTCACGTGCAGGTGACAAATTATATTTAGTGTTTGGTCAGTGGCTGAGGTTCAGTTCTTCGTCATAGGCATGGTGGTGGCAGAGCTGGTGGGACAAGTTCACATCAGAAGGTTTGGGAAGAAAGTCCTTCGTCCTCGGGAAGCCTTGATTGTCCTTTGTGCAATGAAAAAAAAAATTACCCCCTTTGGGGCTTGTGGTGAGAGTGAAAGGAAGTAATAGGTGCGAGGAAGCTTTGTGCCCTTTTGGAAAGGGTTGAACAGAGATGACTCTTGTAGATGCATTGGCCTTTCCGTTAGGGCTTCACTTATGCTGATAGCTTGATACACATGTTGTCTTCACTGGTTAATTCGCTTCTCTGTGCTTTGGGGATTTCCAGGGAGAACCTGGTATTGGTCTTCCGGGACTCAAAGGACTGCCGGGACTTCCGGGGATCCCTGGCACGCCTGGGGAGAAGGGGAGCATTGGAGGACCAGGCGTTCCCGGAGAACACGGAGCTATCGGCCCCCCAGGGCTTCAGGGAATCAGAGGTAACTTCTTGGAGATCAATCTCGCCTGTTTCCAAGTCTGGGTGTGCTTATGTTGTACCCCCAGAGCACCTAGCAGGTGTATTCAATACCCATTTGTTGAGTGAAGGATGATGACCCCAGAAGGAGAAGCTTGTGGTTTTCTGTTGTTGTGGCCCGTTTTGCGCACATCCTGGGAAGCATGCATCTGCTCCTACATGGATTACTCACAACTCTTCCCCTCCAGGTGACCCCGGATCCCCTGGTTTGCCAGGCCCTGCGGGGGCCCCAGGAGCTCCAGGAATAGGCCCGCCCGGAGCCAGGGGTCCTCCTGGAGGACAGGGACCACCAGGGTCATCAGGTGAGCAGCTTTCTTCTAGAACGGCTCCTTCCCTTTATCATGCACACGATGGTATGGGAGAGGGCGCGGGAGTCTCAATGAGGGGGGTGGGCAGCCTGTGTGAAATAAGCTGGGAAGCCGGGCTCGGTGGCTCAGCCTGTCATCCCGTGCCTTTGGGAGGCTGAGGTGAGTGGATTGCCTGAGCCCGTGGATTCGAGACCCGCCCGGGCAACTTGGCGAGACCGCATCTCTACAATAAATAAAAAATGAGCCGGGCGTGGTAGCGCATGCCTGTAGTTCCAGCTCCTTGGAAGGCTGAGGTGGAAGGATCGCCAGAGCCCAGCAGGTCGAGGCTGCGGTGGCTGGGGAGCAGCCACTGCACTCCAGTTTGGGTGACAGAGTGAGACTCCAACTCAAAAAAAAAAAAAAAAGCTGGGAAAGTCAAGTCCAGTTTGGGAGCTCAGACTTGGTTGCTCGGCTGATTATAGAGCCATCAATTTCCTTTTTGTACCTACTGGGATTGCCTTATGCACCCACAGAGGAGACCTTGCCTGTTTTGATATGCAATAAGTTTTTTTAAGTGCCTTTCAAAACGATTTCTCCATAGTATCTTTCCATGGGAAGGTTAATAAGTTTTGGATTTTTTTTCTGAGTCAAGCTCTCACTCTGTTATTCAGGCTGGAGTGCAATGGCATGATCCCAGCTTACTGCAGCCTCGACCTCCTGGGCTCAGGCAATCCTCTTTTCTTAGCCTCCTCAGTACCTGGGACTAATAGGCGCATGCTACCACACTCAGCTAATTTTTTATTTTATTTTTAATTTTTTTGTAGAGATGAGGTCTTGCTATGTTGCCCAGACTGGTGTCAAACTCTGGGCCCAAGCGATCCTCCTGCCTCAGCCTCCCAAAGTACTGGGATTACAGGTGTGAGCCAACATGCTCAGTCAGTTACGGATTATTTATACTAATAAAATCCACATCTAGAAGCTACCTTTGCCTTTAGTGGTAATAATCTTAGAATCACGGTGGTGGTGGTAGACTAAGGTGAAGAAGTCAGTGAACATTGGTTTAGACAAAAGGGGTTATGGGACTGAATATGGCAGAGAGGCCTGGGGTGGCATGGTGGACACCTGTCAGGAAGGGGCGGGCTTTTCTCTTAGGATGCCGTTTATCCACCGATTGTCATGAAGACCTCACATACCAATATTTGACAAGGCATCCATTCCAGTCCCCAGTGTGGGCGTGTCCACACACTTTCTGCGGAAAATGATTATTCAACACTATGAAGTGCATTGTGGAGCTTTCTGTAAATTCTGCTAGAAGTTAATTGCGTTTCACTCACCCTCAGGCCCTCCTGGACTAAAAGGAGAGAAAGGTTTCCCCGGATTCCCAGGATTGGACATGCCAGGCCCCAAGGGAGATAAAGGCTCTCAAGGACTTCCTGGCCTGACAGGACAGTCAGGGCTCCCTGGACTTCCAGGACAGCAGGGATCGCCTGGCATTCCGGGGTTTCCAGGTGAGTGAGTTCTGAATGTCTACCCGGGTTGATGAGAGGGGGACAGGCCTTGCCCGACTCTTCTCGTGACTTTCGGAGCTCTGAGTCCGGAAATGCTCACAGTCCTTCCCTCTGGCCACAGGTTCCAAAGGAGAGATGGGTGTCATGGGGACCCCCGGGCAGCCGGGTGCACCAGGCCCAGCAGGGGCTCCAGGATTACCCGGCGAAAAAGGTAGGAGAACCCGTCGTTTCAGCAAGCTCACCTGTGCCTTTGCATCTCGATGCCTCTTGAGATATACACAAATTGTCATAGGTCGTATTTCGTTTTAAGAGACAAAGAAAAGCCTGGCTGGGTGGCTCAGCCTGTAATCTCGTGCCTTTGGGAGGCTGAGGTGGGTGGATTGCCTGAGCCCGCGGGTTCGAGACCCGCCTGGGCAGGCGAGACCTCATCTCTACAATAAAATAAAAAAATCAGCCGGGCGTGGTAGTGCGTGCCTGTAATTCCGGCTACTCGGAAGGCTGAGGTGGAAGGATCGCTGGAGCCCGGCAGGTCGAGGCTGCTGTGACCGGGAGCGGCCACTGCACTCCAGTCTGGGCGACAGAGTGAGACTCCAACTCAAAAAAAAAGAGACAAAGAAAAGAAAGAGAGAGATAAAAGACACACTGTAGCAATAACTACTATGCTTGTGATAGTCTAAATATTTAGATAATTGACATAAACTATGTTATTTGAGTTTCATAGATGTCGTTTTGTAGAAATAATTTCATTTTTGAAAATAATTTTGAACCCAAAAATTGTACAGATCCACCAATAAAATAAAACCAACCAGTACAGAAACAAATAGATCTTTTTAAAAATACACACATTTTTAAAAGAGGCAGATGAGAAAGTTAAGAAGATCCAGCAGAGACTGGGAGACTCCCTTCTCCCAGTGGGACTGTCTGGTGTCTGGCACACGTGCGATCAAAAGCTGTGCTCTTCCGAGCAAGTTGGAAAGAGGAGGGATTTTCCCTCTTGACGCAGAAACAGTGGGAACTTCAGTCACTCTAAGACACAGGGACTGAGTCCTTAGACTCCAAGGAACAGCCTGGGCAGCTTCACGAGTCTTCTTCTTCTTCTTTTTTTTTTTTTAAATTTCTGATCCTGTTATTTGAAATTGGTCCAGAATAACTTTTGTGGAAAAAAGAAACTGACTTTAAATGGGAAACATACAAAAGGTCATTTGTTGAGTAGGACAGGATAGTCCCTATTGTGTTATGTCGTGTAGACGTGACGGGCGCATAAAGGAGAGAACGCTGTAAATTACCTAAACCAGTGGGGCTAGCCACCTGCATTTGAGTTATTGGCAAAGAATGAATGAATTCCTGAAAATGGCTTGTTGTTCACTGACCCGGGGTTGGATTCTTTTGTGTATCTCAGACACTTGCCACGGAGTGCCATTTTCGGACGGGTGATGTGTTGTCTGTGCCTTCTCCATCAGCCGCTGTCATAGTCACAAGAACGCCCAGCCTGTGGCGACCTCTGCACACTGTCCTGGCTCACTGGGCACCTTCTCTTTCCCTGCAGGGGACCACGGATTTCCGGGCTCCTCGGGACCCAGGGGAGACCCTGGCTTCAAAGGGGAGAAGGGAGACGTCGGTCTCCCTGGCAAGCCTGGGTCCATGGATAAGGTGGACATGGGCAGCATGAAGGGGCAGAAGGGAGACCAAGGCGAGAAAGGCAAGTCCGGGAAGGTTGGGAAGGTGAGGCCCCCAACCAGGGTTCTCCATCAGTGGCACCAATCCAGCCTGCCTTTCTGCAGCTGCTTGCTTCTTAAGTGGACACGGGTCACTGTGATTCCTGTCTGTGATATGTAGGACAAATTGGACCAGTTGGTGATAAAGGATCCCGCGGAGACCCTGGGACCCCAGGAGTGCCTGGAAAGGATGGACAAGCAGGGCATCCTGGCCAGCCAGGTATGAGTGGAGCTTCCAGTCCTGATATGGCCAGAGCGTCTGCCCAGCTCTTCTGTAGATGCCAACCTGTTGGCTTGTCTCTTTACTGTTTCAGGACCCAAAGGTGACCCAGGTATAGGTGGAACCCCAGGTGCCCCAGGACTCCCTGGACCAAAAGGATCTGTCGGTGGAATGGGCTTGCCAGGTAACTCGGGTTTAGAAGAGGTGTCTTTCTACTGTGTGTGTGGCATACAAGTGTCACGTAATGAGGTCCTCCTCCCATGAGCTGAATAGAATCCAGGCAGTTGTGTCTTTCACACAGATTCACATCCTCAGTTCTCTATAGGCTCCTGCCCAGGGGTGGATGGCATTTGACTGATACTGTGACCATTGCTAAGAAAACTCATAATTTAATAGAACAAAACATGGGCTGATCACAAGCAACTGTTGATGGTCTCCAAGTGACTGTCCATGTGACTGGGGTCTCCCAAGGAGATATCTGGGTCTCTCCTCACGGTCGTCAGCAATAGAAGTTCATGCCTTGCGAGTCTTTTATGGTAGTCCAGAAGAACCCTCTGGGCTTCTCTGCCCCAGTCTTGAACTGGTCTTAAGATTATGCCAATGAGGCCCACTCTGTTGATGGCACTGAGAGAGAGAGAGGTCTGGGTGGGAATGCTTCTCAGAGCTTGCCTGGAAAGGGAACACATCAGGACAGAAGATGTGTTCCATCTTCTCCTAAGTCTGCACAGTGCTGTTATCGCTTTCGTTGAAATAGGTTGCTGGTCATACCTATTTAGAAATAAGTTTGGCTACCGACATACATTACATACATCATGACCACTCTGATTTGCTGGGTTAAGAAGAGTTGATTATATGATAAAAAGCCACTTTTACACTGTGGAGAAAGCAAATATTCTAAGCAGCTAATGTATTTCTTTATAAAACGATGGTTTTCAAAGACAGGAGCCATGTTTCCCAGTGTGGCTCTGATGTGATCTGGGTGACTGGGGTCCTCCCAATGTCTGCTGCCCCCCATCTTTTGGTGACAATGACAATCTGTGGGGGGGGGGGTGGCAGGTTTGCAAATAAAGGGATCTGTGTCCTCTTACTTCATTCTTGGCTGGTGGTCAAGGGGCTTTATGACTTTTGATCCTAGCACCAGGTAATCTCACCTTCTAGTTTTAATTGTTTGTGTTTACAGGAACACCTGGAGAGAAAGGTGTGCCTGGCATCCCCGGCCAGCAGGGCATCCCTGGTTTACCCGGAGAGAAAGGCACAAAGGGAGACAAGGGACAGGCGGGTCCACCTGGCATCGGCATCCCCGGGCTGCCTGGTGAAAAGGTAACCAGCACCCTCTGCCCATCTCAATGGCCATGTCTCCTGAGAAATGTTCAATACATGTTGCAGCACAGTCAGTGAATTATAATGTACAGTAATTCCTCCCAGTGTAGTCTAGGCTGCCTCTTCTCCCTTATTACTCATGACCTCTCCCCCAAGGAACAATCTGGAAACTCAGTGAGAGGTTGGTGGAGGGAGGGGAGTAGACAGCGATCTCTGGGAAGAAGCAAAGGGGAGGGAGGGGCAAGAAGTTTAGCAAGCAGGAACGAGACAACGAGCTCTGCTGTGCTGAAGTTTTCTCCTCTGTTTTCCCAAATGGACTTGGATTCTTTTGTGAGAAACCTGGAAATGGAATGTTGCAATGCAGTATTCATTGCCCCAAAGTGTGTGTACTGTGATCCAGAAAGTGGCTACAGAGGCATGTCCAGGAACGAATGCAAAATTAATATGCCCAATTTTTGCTCACAGGGAGATCAAGGGGTGGCGGGCTTCCCAGGAAGTCCTGGAGAGAAGGGAGAAAAGGGAACCACTGGGATTCCTGGAATGCCTGGGTCTCCGGGCCCGAAGGGGTCCCCCGGGAGTGTCGGCTATCCAGGTAGGTGATGAGCAGGCTCTCCTCCTAATGGTGGGCTCAAAGAAGACAAAGAAACATTCAAACCCACGGGCCTTCTGGTGTTGTGTTTTTCCTTAGGAAGCCCTGGGCAGCCTGGAGAAAAAGGAGACAAAGGCCTCCCAGGATTGGATGGCATCCCTGGGGTCAAAGGAGAAGCAGGTAGAGACTTTAGACAACAGTCCGTGCATGGGGGTGGGGGGCTGGGTGGAAGCAGCCATGAGAGGGAAGATCCCAAGGTCCCCAGGAAATTCCCATTACAGATGGGAATCAGGGAGCCAGCTGTTCTGCCCTTCCATTTGTCAGATGAGCAAACTGAGTCTAGGGGGCTTCCAGGGTCTTTCTGGGGTCTTGCCACTAGCTAGGAACTAAGATCCAGATATCCAAGTTGTTTTCAGAGTTAGCATGGGAGTTTTAGGTATCTCTTCTTCATTGTCACCAGCTTTTGTGGGTTGGGAGGTTCAGTGATCTTGCTGAAAACATGGAAGGTCCTTGCTGAAGGGATGTCAGGACTGACCTCAGGGAAACCAGGAGGAAATAGCTCAGGAGGGGACAGCTCCCCTAAAGGATGTTGGAAACAGACCATCTTGTGTGGCAACTGGGGTGCTGTAAGAGGTTTTGTGAGTGACTGATGTCACCTTTCTCTTCGAGGTCTTCCCGGGACGCCTGGCTCCACAGGCCCGGCTGGCCAGAAAGGAGAGCCGGGCAGTGATGGAATCCCGGGGTCGGCAGGCGAGAAGGGTGAACCAGGTATGGCCAGCGCCTCCGTTTCCTTCATCCGCTCTCAGAAACCTGCAGATTGTGTTCAGTGAACAGATCTGGGAGTGGAATGGCCCCTGGGCTGCACACCCTTGTAACTACTTAAACACAATGTGGACATGTGGAGCAGGGTTGGATGACAGGGCAGGAGGGGGGGAATTCATTTATACCACAAATACCTCTGTCCTTCTGCCCTTGAAGTAACCTGAGCTCTCAGCATCAGTCAGAGGCACACTAAACACTTACTGTGTTGGAACAAATTCCTTGTAAGTAAAAAGCTCTCCTTTTCCATTTCCCTTGAACTTACTATGACAAAACAAAAGCAAAAATACTTCCCTTCTCCTGATGTTTCCCCCTTTAAGAAATGGTCCTGGGAATACTTGTTAGCCTCTGAATCTGTTCCTGTCCCTGATGAAAGAGCCACACTTGGACAAAAGGACCTGCTGCTGGCTGTGGTGATGACAACCACATATACAGTAATACCCAGATCAGTAATGCAAGAGGTTGATGAGCACATTATTTGAAACAGGCTGCCCCCGAGTCAGGGGGATGGAGGAAGAAACATCTGGGGTCCCTTTGCTTCTGGGCTGGCCTTTTTCTTAAGTCCACTGTTTTCATTCTAGACATATTACAGCCATTCATTTTCCTATTCACATAGCTCATAAAGAACCCTCCACACTCCCTGCCCTGCCTCTGAATCTTCCCTCAAGCCCTTTTCTCACATCTGTGGTTCCCAGTGTCTGCTGTCCCCCATCTTTTTGGCTGACCCTTCCTTGAGAGCAAAAATAAGCTGGATGGTTGTTTGAGACTCCCTCTTTGTCCATCTCTTGACAGTAGGAGGAAATAGGCATTTACTCACACAGATCATTTCTGCTGAATGCCATGATGGTTCTAAACTGGAAGGTACTTGGGAACAAGAACTACATTATGAGTATCCAGTCAAGGGTATCCTTTGACTACTGTGGGAATATCATTTTATTCCCAGGGTACAGTTAACTAATTGTCATGTACTCTACGTGTAGATGGTATTCGTGCAGAGTTGATGGCACTTTGGGCTGTGACCGCACACGGATTGTTCAACAAAAGAGAAATTTTGCATTTTTTTCCTTCTCATGCAGGTTTGCCAGGAAGAGGATTCCCAGGATTTCCAGGGGCCAAAGGAGACAAAGGTAATATTTGCCCAGTGTGCTTTTTCCATCTCAGCTCACCACACTGCCCAGAATGGTAGGACAGGGCAGTGTCTGCATGACGCAGCCCTGTCCCTGGCAGCGACACAACAACTGGGCGTGGAGCCACATCCAGTGACATTGTTTAATTAATAGATTGGTGTATCATGCAGTACCCTTATTATTAGAGATTCTCTTTTATTTATGACAAATTCTATAAAATTCAGTAGAGGAAGAATTCCCCTGTTTCTTATATATATATTTTTTAAGAGACAGAGTTGCCTAGACTGGAGCGCAATGACACAATCATGGCTCACTGCAGTCTTGACCAGGAGTTTGAGACAAGCCTGGGTGACAGCAAGACCCCTGTTACTTTTGTGCTCAGAGTCATCAGAAAATCAAAGTTGTTACCTTTTAAGGCTGGGTATGCTTATGTGAAGGCAGCATGGAGCACAGATCAGGAGTTCCAAATGTCCCCTGAGCAGCATGGTGAGCTCAGTACTGAGCACAGTGGAGAGCTGGGAGGAGCTTGAAGGTGCGGTCTCTTTCTTCAGGGAACTTAGCTTTTTATGAGACAGCAAGGGCAGATGGGGGAAATGCCAGCCATAAAATTCAATGCTGTGAAGAGAAAAGCCACAGGTAGCCACAGCTGTGGACTCACACATTTGGCATCGCTGGAGATGAGGGTGGGAGGCCACAGGTGGTCCCAGCCAGTCTAATGACTTGGAAAGGCCCTGGCAGGTCAGATCAGAAGGAGCAGGGTGCATGGTGGCTCTGCTCCCCGGGCTCTTCCTGAGAGCAGTCCAGAGCATTTTCTTTGCAGGCTTGTGGTCTGGCACTGGGCGAACCCTTGCTCGAGAGTGGGGGATGGTGTGGGTGGGCTGCCTGGGCAATGGGCCACTTCCCCTCTTCCCCTAACATACAGGTGGCTCAGTTGCAAATGCATCTGCTCAGGGATTCCCATGGATTTTGCTTATTTGTGGATTGGGGTCATGCAGGCTGGAGTGCAGTGGCACAATCATGGCTCACTGCAGCTTCAGCCTCCTGGGCTCAGGCGATCCTTCTGCCCCAGCCTCTTGAGTAACTAGGATGACTGGCATGTGCCACCATGCCAAATCAATTTTTAAAATTTTTATTTATTCATTTATTATGATTCCATATCTATCTATCTATCTATCTGTCTGTCTGATCTATCTATCTATCATCCATCTATCTATTCCTTCTATTTCTGTCTATTTTTTTTGAGTCAGGGTCTCACTCTGTCACCCACAGAGGCACTACAGCTTCAACCTTCTGGGCTCAGGTGATCCTTCTCTTCAGCTTTCCAAGTGGCTGGAGCCACAGGTGTGCACCCCCACACCCAGCTCATTTTTTTCATTTATTATAAAGATGAGGTCTCGCCAAGTTGCCCAGGCTGGTTTTGAACCCCTGGGCTCAGGCACTTCTCTTGCCTCTGCCTCCCAAAGTGCTGGGATGACAGACGTGAGCCACTGTGCCCGACTCGCTATCTATTCTTAGACAGGGTCTCACTCTGTCTCCCAGGCTGGACTGCGGTAGCACGATCACAGCTCACCACAGCCTCCTGGGCTCAAGTGATCTTCCTGTCTCAACTTCCCAAGTAGCTGAGACTATAGGCGCGTGCCACCAGACCTGGCTAATTTTTAAAAATTTTTTGTAGAGGTCTCACTATGTTGCCTAGACTGGTCTTGAACTCCTGGGCTCAAGCAATCCTTCCTCCTCGATCTCCCAAAGTGCTGAGATGACAGGTGTGAGACACCACACCCAGCCCCTTGGGTTTTCAGAACAGGGATCTTCAAGACATGCCTGCCCTCTGCCTACCTTTCCTCACCGGGCCGTCTAGTCCTGCACTGTCTGGGTGGTTTACCCCAGGAGAAACTCCTGCCATGCCTCATGTTTTCCATTTGTTGCCTTGTGAAATAACAGGGACCGTCCTGAAGAGAAGCTACACAGCCCTTTTATTTTTATTTTTTTAATAACCTTGAAATAGCCTTAGAATTTTGGCACTTTTCTTGGTAAGTTTTGGACAGTGTGTTCAAAACTAAATATGGAGGGTTTTTTTTCCTAGTAGCTCTTTAAAATTTTTTTTTAAAGAACAGCCCTGTTGAGTTATCACTGACAGATAATTAACTACACAGATTTGAAGTGTACAATTTGTTAAGATGTGCCATATGTATACATCCACGAAAATATTCCCACATTCAAGATGGTGGGCACACCCATCACCCCATATGATCTCCTGTGATGCTAAGTCCCTCCTTCCTATCCCCTCCTGAGTCACCCCAAGCAACCATGCATCTGCTTTCTGGCACTCTAGAGTAGCTTGCATTTCTAGAATTTTGAAATCATACAGTGGGCACCCTTTGTCATCTGGCTTTGCCCACATAACATCACGGCTTGAATTCAACCCGTTGCGGCTCGAATCAAGAGCTCACTGCTTTCTGCTGCTGAGGAGTGCCCCATGGGGTGGCCGTAACTCGGAGAGTTTGTTCTTTCACCTGCGGATGGAATGCGCCCTTAATTTTAGCAGTGCAATTGCTTGCAGACTTAGCACAGATTCAGACAACTTTGCATTGGAAACTTCTGCAGCAGGTACACTGAAGGATGGCCGGGTTCCCAGCCTTCTAAGCTTTCTCTTTGGTGGGTCAAGCTAGGGTAGGTGTCTAGTGTGTTCTTTGCAAAGAAGAAGAGCATGGAGTACCTGCTCCAGTCTTTCCCTGGTGCCTCTGGGAAGCTCCCCACGGGCGCCAGAAGGATGAGGAACGCTTTGCCCCGTCTCTATCCATCAGTGTGACCTGAGATTCCTATTCTGCTACTGTGTTCCACCACGATCTCACACTGTTTTTCTTGTTTAGGTTCAAAGGGTGACGTGGGTTTCCCAGGATTGGCGGGGAGCCCAGGCATTCCTGGACCCAAAGGCGAGCAAGGACTCGTGGGTCCTCCGGGACCCCAAGGACAGCCGGGATTACCTGGGTCTCCAGGTCACCCTGTGGAGGGGCCCAAAGGAGACCGGGGACCCCAGGGCCAGCCAGGCCTGCCAGGTAAGGGTGTCTCAGCAGGTGTCAGCGGGGGACAGAATTCACAGAAGGAGACTAGGGTTGAAGAAATGTTAAGGAAATCATCACATTCTCTGTTGGGCTTATTTAGAAGTGTGCAATATTTACCATGTGTGTTTAGGCCACCCTTGGCTCAAAGCGCTTGTTGTATCCTTTCTGTCGAGGAATGTAAGTATAGAGATTCAAGAAAGGACCGATTAAAACAGCCTATTATTTCCACCTGTGATGTTTTCCTTTAAACACCACAGCTCCCTCATACTCTTTGACCGTGACCAGGACTCCAGTAGGGGCAGCGCTGACCACAGGGCGCTGTGGACATGGAGATCCTGGTGTCTCTGTGAACTTCCTTCCTTCCTTCTGGGACCTTGCTTGATTTCCTTCTCCAGGGCTCATGCTGCTTGCTAGGATGGTGTATCCCGTGAGGGACAGGGGGTGGCAGTAATGACAGCTCCACAGTCCAGGGACACTTGGACTTCACATAGCCCTCCAACCCCTGATGTGTGACTCCCATCTCTCCCATTAGGACTTCCGGGACCCATGGGGCCTCCAGGGCTCCCCGGACTTGATGGACTGAAGGGTGACCAAGGACATCCTGGCTGGCCGGGAATCCCGGGTGCGCCAGGGCCCAAGGGAGACCCAGGATTCCAAGGCATGCCTGTGAGTTACTGATTTGGAGACTTTTTAAAGGAGCCTTTTCTGGTCTGAAACCATTCTTCTGTGTATGTGTACTATGTGCCTGTATATATTCATGCATGTTACACCCCCGTGCTTTCTCTGAATAGGTCCTTTCCCTTTCCATGGTTCTTGTAAACCTAATTCTTTACGATTTAGTTTTACAAGAACCATTGAAAGGAAAATGTAAACCTAATTCTTTACGATTTAGTTTTACAAGAACCATTGAAAGGGAAATGTTCAGTGTCTAAATGTCAAGTCCTTGTGCAGACTCAGTGCAAAAAGCAAGCCAGGGTTGTTTTGTAAAGAACAATTCTGTAAAGCTAGCCCAGCCGTCTCCTGTGCTTGCCAGTGAGACAGGAACATTGCGGTTGACCAGCTGAAGGTGTGGGGACTTAGACGAGCCTCAGAGGAGCAGGTCTCGGGGAGCAATAAGTGACCAGTAGAGGGGTGTGTGTGGGTCTGTGTGTGTGTTGCTATTTAACTTGGGTCCTTTGCAGTGTCTGAATATATAGCCCCTTTGCGTGGCGGTCTTAGATCTCTGGTTGGAGTATCAGCTCAACCTCATCCATGAATAAATAACTAATGGGCTAATGGGCTGTTTATGGGTCTTGGTGGGTCAAATAGATGTGTTAGCTGAGATCCATTCTCTGTGGCTGTCTCTGTTTTCTCTCTTTTTCTCTCTCTCTTTCTCTAACACATCTTGAAAGAAAGAGACAGGGTGTCAGGGAACAGAGGGATTGAGACAGCCCTCTGCAGTGATGTGGGAGGCAGTGGAGTTCTTGTCAAAGTCCACACAGGCCATCCCCTGTAGGGAGAGACATGTTTTGGAGTCCTTAGGGCACCTTCTCAAGGACAGACACAGAATGACTATTCATAGCTTGCTATGCACTAAAACATAAGCGGTGCTGTTTGACTTGTGAATCAGTAACTTAGGAGAAGCTTATAATTATGCCAAACAGGCTAGGTAGATAGGCAGTAATCTCTTTGCCCACTCTTGTCCTCAAAGCTGTGTGCAACACAGTGCATGTGTGCGTGAACAGGCTTCTGGCCCCTTACTGCTGTCTTACAGTTTTTCAGTCATTTAGTTGCAGGTAACTCATCACTTATTCATACGTTCCTCTTTTATTGATCAGTAACATGGAAATATACTTCTCACTAATTTTTACTTCTCCGTTAAATTATGTCAACAGTAACACAGAAATTTGACCTTCGTTTGTCTATGTCTTCCTTTCGACAGTCTCTTCTGCTTCCTTTTCCTTTTTCTCTTCTTCCTTCTCATTAAAACAACAACAAAAAATCTTTATTTAAACTTTTTAAAAAAGGCAATATAAGCCGGGCTCGGTGGCTTAGTCTGTAATCCCGTGCCTTTGGGAGGCTGAGGTGAGTGAATTGCCTGAGCCCGCGGGTTCGAGACCCGCCTGGGCAGCGAGACCTCATCTCTACAGTAAATCAAAAAATCAGCCGGGCGTGGTAGCGCATGCCTGTAATTCCGGCTACGCGGAAGGCTGAGGCGGAAGGATCGCCGGAGCCTAGCAGGTCCAGGCTGCGGTGGCCGGGAGCGGCCACTGCACTCCAGTCTGGGCGACAGAGTGAGATTCCAACAATAAAAAAAAGGCAATATACTCCCAACTCCTGGTGCCATCAGTGTCTGTCTGTGTCTATGTATATCTGGATGTACAAATGTGTGTGTAAATATTTATATAAATATATATTTGTGCGTGTTGTTTTGGTTATGGCACTTTTAAAATAAGATAAAGCAAAAAACCAAATCCGTTTAAGAAATAATGTGACTTGTTCCATGTGGTTGCTTATGCCTAGAGAAAGGAACTGTGTTGAAATAGAAAATGAGCTAACATCTTAAAATACGTGAATATTGCCAAATTATAAAGGAACTTAATTCTTTCGTATTTTTTTTTTTAACCTTCTCTCAATATTTAAAATCAGTTTTCAGATAAGACATGAAGGTAATTTTAAAGAAAAATTATTACACTTGAGTGTTCAGGGGAAAGGTTTCAGAAGGGTTGCTTGGCGTTGCCAGAAGGGTGTGATGTCCTCACGAGTGTTTGTGGAGTCTTGACTCTGTTTTTGGCATTGTGCTGTGGGGTAGAGCTAGTGGAGTGTAAGACTTTCGCCTGTTTCCCAGGACCTTGCCACGTAGAGAGACAAGCAGCGGGGACCCAGGGGTTGAAACCGACTGTTCTGATTTCCAGTTTCCCAATTTAGGGCAGAGGTTTTGCCCTTCTTGGGACATCATTTAGGAAACCACGAAGGCATCACTTGCTCACAGACCTGCTTTGCAGAACATTGGGGGCTTCCTCAGGGTTCAGCAACCAGGTTACTCGAGAGACTTGTCCTATGTGTCCTGAGCACTTCTTTGTGTGTCTAGGGCATCGGTGGCTCTCCAGGAATCACGGGATCTAAGGGAGATATGGGACTGCCAGGTGTTCCAGGCTTCCAAGGTAAGGCCATGGAGAGCATGCTGTGAGTGGTCTTCGACAGCAAAGGAGGTGCATTTGAAGAGCCTCCTAAACTTGGGCTCTTTGGTATGGATCGAACTGGCATAATTACAGCGCGAGGCTTTGTTCTCCTCAGACTGCAACCTGTCTCTCTGTGTGACAGCCCAATTTGTATAATCCCAGGAATAGCTGGGTAAATACAGTCTGATTTTCTTATTGAGAGTCAGTAGATCATTAACAGCTCAATAAGAAGTCATGGATTGGGGCCATTCATTAATTTACGGATGTGTTAAGCAAACATTTATGGGGTGCCTACCAGCTCCAAGGCACTGGGATTTTTTTTTTTACTGCAGAGTCAGATACAACAGGTCTCGGCCCCCAGGTATCTTGTGGTCTAATTGGGGACACAAGTGACCAAACTTTGTGTCAGGTGCCCTCTGCTGGTTGCAATCATTTTACAGTGTGTGGCATGTCTAGAAAAATATGATGTCTGGGTTCTGGAAAAAGAGAGTTTCCTCGGAAGGTTTACACAACTGACTGCTTTTTTCTTGTGGATAAATTGAAACTATGTTCACTGAGTGTGCATGTATGTGTACAAGTAGCTCCTTTAAAATGGAATTTGTTTATCAGAATTGTGTATTTATTCTTAAATATTTAAACGTCAGTCACCTTCCAAGTCTTCTCTGTTGGACGTAATACACCTATCAAGACACTTTTCCAACTCCTCCAAATAGTTTTATAATTCATCCATTTTGATACCTTTTCGTGCTTCTGATGTCTTTTGTTTTACCTCTTCCACACTGGCAAAACGCTTCCCTTTGAAGACTTTTTAAATCTGGGGAAACAAAAAGTCACTCAGGCAAGATCAAGGAATAGGGATAGTAGGGCATGGGGGTCATACCGTCTTTGGTCAAAAACTGCTGCGCACTCAGTGCAGTGTGGGCAGGTACACTGTCATGGTGGAAGAACCAGTCACAACTCGGGGCATTTCTTCCACCAATCATGATACAACCTTCTCAGAACTTCCAGATAAAAACTTTGGTTGGCCGTTTGAGCAAAAGGAACAAATTCTGAATGTACTATAAGGGGCCTGTTCTCCATGGGATAATTCCGGGATTTGAGGGGTTCCCACTTGTCTGCATATGTATGTATGTGCACCTGAATGCACGTATATGCGGGTGTGTGTATGTGTGTACATTAATATGCATATATGTGAATAGTTGTACCTATGTGTGCATATATGCGCGTATGTATGCATCTGTGTACATGCATGTGCGTTATTCATACACATGCATATATTTGTTTCTCCCTGGAAATTTTGTGCAAAGACGCTCTTCTCCCTCTTTCTAGGTCAGAAAGGTCTTCCCGGCCTCCAGGGAGTTAAAGGAGACCAAGGAGATCAAGGTTTTCCTGGACCTCAAGGTAGGAGAATGTGTTAGTCAAATACAAAAGTCATCAGCACTGCGCTGTGTAAAACGACTCAGAAATTGTGGGCTAAAAATTCTTTGCAGCGTGTGAAGATTTCTGTAGTTCCATGTTTACCAGCGACTTATCTTGAAAGTCAAATCTGTGGTCTGAGTAGATCCAGTAGAGGGACAGCCTCAGGATTCCAGATACCCCTGAAGGCTCGGAAGTTGGACTGAAATCAACTGCTTAAAGTTATTGTGGGAAAGAAATCGACCCTGCATGTAGAGACTGGACACTGCTGCTTGGACAGTAGCAGGTTCTTCCTAGGAAAGAGTGTCTGTTGGCTTCTCCATTACTGGGGTGTGACGTGGCTCCTGAAACCGTGAAACGATTTTGGAAGGAAATAGTTTAAGTGTGTTACTCATCCCGTCTTCCCTCTGCTGAGCAGACCTTATGTCTGGGGCTTTGTTTAGTTTTCAAAACCATGCTTTAGGAGACAGAGCGAGAAACCGAAGGCACCGAGCGGTGGCAGAGAGGAGAGAAAAGGCAGGGGAAGGACGTGTGTAGAAGTGGGGGACCTGGGTCATGGGGCTGAGGAAGGGGTGGCCCAGGCGACCGAAGACTCTGTGTGGTGCCTATGATGCCCTGAGACCTGTCGCACAGAAGGAGAGTTCAGTTCATTCATTGCCATAGGACTAGGGCCAGTGCCGTCACACCCAGTAGGGCAGAATCAGGTAGAAACGAAAACAGGTGTGACGCTGTCCCTGTCAGTCATGGTGCTGTCCCTGCCAGGGGTGGCACTGTCCCTGCCAGATGTGGCTGCCTCAAGAGAAATGAGCTTCGTGTTCCGGGAGTGCTCCAGCGAGACTTTGAGGTTGTCAGGGACCCCGACACTGAGTGGAAAGTGACGCCCAGTGTCTCTTCTAGTTCTGAGAGTCAGGGATTTTAGGTTGGATAATAAAGATGTCCAGATTAAACACATGTTTTGCGAGGATCTGAGCGCTTGTGTTTTCCATCGTGATCTGACTTTCGGTAAGCATGTTCCGTTTGGAAGGTGTCACCTGGACCTCTCTGGAAGCTGTTTCTTCCCCAGGATGTGGACAGTGCAACTGACCAATGGCTTCCCATTTCCCACAGGTCTCCCAGGTCCCCCAGGCCCTCCAGGTCCTTACGACATGATCAAAGGGGAGCCTGGGCTCCCTGGTCCTGAGGGTCCCCCAGGTCTGAAGGGGCTTCAGGGACCTCCAGGCCCAAAAGGACAGCAAGGTAAGAATGCTGGGGTTGTGTAGGGGTGCAGTGGGGAGCACAGGTGGGTGGGCAGGTTTTCCTCTTCATCCATGTGTCTAAAATGAAAGTTTCTGGGTAATGGTTATACAAACGCATTTTTCCCCTCTTGGAGTCAGAGTGCTCACTCTTTTGCCCAGGCTGGAGTGCAGTGGCATGCTCATGGCCACTGCAGCCTCCACCTGTTGGACTCAGGTAATCCTTCTACCTTAGCCTTCCAAGTAGCTAGAACTACAGGCACACGCCACCACACCCAGCTTTTTTTTTTTTTTTGGCTTATTGTAGAGATGAGGTCTTGCCAAGTTGCCCAGGCTGATCTCAAGCCCCCTGGCCTCAGGCAATCCTGTCGCCTCCACCTCCCAAAGTGTGGCATTGCAAGCGTGAGTCGCCACGCATGGCTCAGACACATATTTGAAAATGACTGTCTTATTTTCCTTTAATGTATATTTAAACTAAATGAAGTTTTTGAAGGACTCTAAAAAGCCAAAACAAAATGCAGGAAAACCCAAATTCAGCATATTTATACTCGATTAGAAAAACATGGACTCAAAGAAACAGAATATCATGTCTGCCCCCAGCTGGGGGCAGGGTGGAGGGGCAGCAATCTTGAAGTGTAGACGTTATTGTTCCATCCTTGCCCCAGGTGTCTGCCCGACTGGCAAAGATTTGTGCTATTCCCTGCTGCTCCCAGAAACCCTAACCTGGAGTCTTTAGCCTATTTGAGCTAAACCTTTCTCAAAAGCTGTTGATAAGGGCGCTGTCCCTTATCAACAGCTTTTGATGGGAAGTAAAGGGGATTGAGAGCATTTAAAGCCGAAAGATAGCGTCCATGAACATTTACGTTTAAAGATTCTGAATAAGCTGCATACACAGAAAATGCACACACACACACACACACACACACACACACACACACACACAACTATCTGTATGGATATATGTATTGCCTAAAAATGGCCACCCTAGAATATGGCAGAGGGGGAAAGCCTTCTCAAATCCCTTCTTCTGCCCCATGTAGCTGGCCTTTTCCAGACAGATCTAACATGCGATTGCAGCAAGAAACCAGGGAGAACTCAGAACGAGAGGGGAAAGCACACCCCCTGGGAATGTTGACGTGACAGTTGCTTCTGCCAAGTGTGTTCCAAGCTTTGCCGGAAGCAACTCACGGTCGTCCAGGGAAACTTTCTCACCTGCAGTCCGAGGTCTTCTGCGCCTCCTGGAAGACCAAAAGGGTACTTAGGAGGGGAAGAGGAAGAGATAGCATGCTGCCATGCAGGACCACGTCGTGAATTCTCTTTGCTTTACTTTAGGTGTGACGGGATCGGTGGGCTTACCTGGACCTCCGGGTAGTCCCGGGTTTGACGGTGCTCCCGGCCAGAAAGGAGAGACCGGACCCTTCGGGCCTCCTGGTAGGTTGCTGTGGCCTTCCGTCCTGATGACCTTCCACCTGGATCTTTGGTGTAGAAACAGTAGGTCCACATGTGGGGACACTGCACAACGAGGCTGGAAATGTTACTTGAAAGATTTCCAGAGAGGTCTGTTTCTTGAAAGAAGCAGACTCCCAGAGAACAGCTGAAGGACTGTGCTTGTTCTGTGTAGAGGCAGATGTTGATCAAAGCATACGTTTTCCAGATGTTGCTGAAAGGCCGCCAGTCACGGTGGTCCCGGGTGGTTTCCTGAGAGGGTCGAGGGCTGCATCTACAGAAATTCTGTTTCAGCAGATGGCAGGGGACGGGAGAAATAAAAACAGTAATGACAGCCTTGGCCCGAGGGCATGGGGTCAACTTGATCTGTTTTCTTGGGAAGCAGGGGCTCACTAGAGGGTCCCCAATGACCGTGGTGCCTCAGATTGAGGCTGTCAACTAAGACAGGAAGCACGACCTGTGAGCAGCCTTGCACGTGGCACAGTGACCCAGGGAATGGAAACACTCGATGTCTGCAAGGTTTCTTACTGCTCCAAATCTGTCTCCCAGGCTGGAGTGCAGTGGCACGAGCATAGTTCACTGCAGCCTTGGACTTCTGGGCTCAGACGATCCTCCTGCCTCAGTCTCCTGAGTAGCTGGGACTACGGGCACGCCAACATGCCCAGCTAATTTTCATATTTTTGCAGAGACGGGGTCTTACTATGTTGTCTAGCCCGGTAAACTAAATCTTTTGAGCATCTGCTCTGCACTGAGCACGGTGCTTATAAAAATATCTTGAGGTGGCGCATGACAAGAAAGAGATAAGACACCGTGAAGGAAGAGGGTTGTTGTATCTAGTTAGCTGTGTACTTTTTTGAGTACTTTTTTTTTGCAGCACGAACAGGTGAGATACCTTGTGGAAATACAAAATATTAAAAACTCTTTTGAGACCGTGGGGAAACTGTTTGTAACTAGGGAAACTGATGTGTCTTCTCTCTTCCAGGCCCAAGAGGGTTTCCCGGTCCACCAGGCCCAGATGGGTTGCCAGGTTCCATGGGGCCTCCAGGAACCCCGTCTGTCGATCACGGCTTCCTGGTGACCAGGCACAGTCAGACAATAGACGACCCTCAGTGTCCTCCTGGGACCAAGATTCTTTACCACGGGTACTCTCTGCTCTACGTGCAAGGCAATGAGAGGGCCCACGGCCAGGACTTGGGTACGTGACACGTCTGTCAGCGCCTTCCTTCGTTCAGGGTGGACGTGCCGAGTGCTGCGTGTGTGGCATGGTGCGTGCGGTCCTTGCCTCTGCTGTTGTCACTGAGTGTGCTAACAAGGCCGGAGCCCAGGAAGAAAGGGCGCTCACCCCACCCCCCCATCTCCCGTTGTGACGACATCGATTCAACAGCTGCTTGGTTACTACTGGCAAGCTGAGGAAACGGCAAGGCTGAATCTTTGAAAACGTTGATCTAATCACAATTTTTAAAAAATGTCAAATAGGATCGAGATTCCTGGAGTGAACACTTGACAGCTTGCATCAATATTCTTAACACATTCGCGACCGGCACATTTTTCACCTTCCTAATACTGAGAGTGGGTGAAAATAAGTAAAATCTGAAGCTGGTTGCCGCAAACTTCAGTCGTTAAGCGAAAGTGAAATGGTCTTTTCTAAACTGTCACCTTTTTCACTATACAGCTGAAAGTTGCAGACATATCCAGTATTTGCCTCAGACACCACTCTGACTAGCATTCTGTACTTTGCATTTTTATTTGGATTATAAACTGAATATATATGTTATATATATATATTTCTTCATTTACATTCCATCATTACTTCACTATCTCTCTCACTGTCATTAATGAGTTCACTGGATTTATTTTCGTCCTTGGAAATCTCATCAGCATATATTTCTTCATTTTTCATAATTAGGGTAAATTATTTTTTAACGTTGAAGTAGGAAAGCCCTGAAATATCAAAATACAAATGTACCACACTAATCACAACAAAATAATGGCCAACTTGCAATTTTTACTGGCTACGTAAATCATTAGCAACATTAAGCAGTCTGTATCAGATAATTATCTCAGTGAACTTTCTCTCTCCTTGTCTCAGTATTCATTTTTCAAGCAAAACATAATAACACGTGCACATGACAACGTTGCAGCATTCAGAAACAGAATTTGCCAAGATGTCAATTCACGTCAGCGGCAACCAGGAACAGAATTTGGAACGACGTAAATTCACGACCACGATCTCGAATAAGTTTAAATAGGCCAGCTTCACTGTCACTCTTTTTTCAAAAACGTCCACATGATCCTATCTGAAACTCTCCACACCTTCTGAGCTCTGCCCTTGGGTAGTTCAGGTACCCGCAGTGCGACACGTTCCCTTGTGAGCTCAGCCTCCTCCGTCAGGCTGTATGTACGTTAGTGCTCTGACCTTCACTGTTACCAAGGTTACGGTCAACATACAGTCATAGAAAGAGCCTCTCTCTGTTTTCTGTAAGACAGTTGTTCAAGACATTACCCAATAGGTCACTATGCACGTGTAACAATCCGTGAGCGAAACCCCTTCCAGAACACAGTTCTGGGAAAAGGTTCCCCTCTGCTGGGAACCTGGCTTGGTTTCCTTTGACCAAAAGTGACCGTCTCAGTGCTCTGGCATTTCCCTTTTGCCTGATCCCCTTACATTCAGTGGCTCCTTCACGATGGCACCAGCCATTTGGTGTGTCAGTTGCTTCTTTTGGATAATCTCCCATTTCGGTTTCCATGTTAGTGGCCGTGCTGCCCATGGGTCTCTGCCCCCTCTTGCATGGAGGCGGGTTGGGAGTCGCGAGGCCTCACCCTGTCTCTCCCGTGTCCAGGCACCGCCGGGAGCTGCCTGCGAAAGTTCAGCACCATGCCCTTCCTTTTCTGCAACATCAACAACGTGTGCAACTTCGCGTCCCGGAACGACTACTCCTACTGGCTGTCCACCCCGGAGCCCATGCCCATGTCCATGGCGCCCATCACCGGGGACAACATCAGGCCATTTATCAGCAGGTGAGCTGGGAATGTGCGGGGGCAAATGCAAGACAGCACAGGGATGAGTCTCTCCTGGTCCGGACACATGCATTGTTTTAACATTTTTCTCCAAGGCATTCAGTCCGCTGCCATCCAACTTATTGGCTGTGATATCTGAGTTTTGTAGTAGAAACCGGCCACAGTCATGGTTGGATCTGTCAGTTATCATCTTCAAAAATTGTAGGGCAAAACCATAGAGAGATCAAGCCCAGCTTAGGAACACATTTCGCATTTTATGTGACTGGTTGGGGTGTCTCCTCTCCGCCTGCAAGCAAGTGGTATGCTAGATTCTTTAGCAAATCACAGAACGGTATTTCTCAACCTTTCTTTTTTTTTTTTGAAATAGTAGCATCCCTAAAAAGCTTTTAAAGACCTTTTTTCTGAGTTGCCCCTGCCCCTTATTTTTAATTGTGATAAAATGCACATAACATTAAATTTCCCCTTTTAGTCATGTTTAAGCGTACAGTTCAGTGATACAAATTACATTCGTGCTGTCATGCGACCCTCACCACCATCCATCTCCATCATCTCAGGCTGAAAACTCTGTCCCCATTAAACAACGGCTTCCACGTTCCCTCTCCCCAGCTCCTTGCAACCCCTTCTCTGCTTTCTCTCACTGTGAGTCTGATTATTCTCACTTCAGCAGAGTCACACTGAGTTGGCCTTTTGTGACTGGCTTATTTCACTGAGCATAACATCTTCAAGGTTCACCCATGTTGCAGCATGTGTCAGAATCTCCTTCCTTTTTAAGCCTGAATAGTATTCCATTGTACGAATATGTCACATCGTGTTTACCCATGTATCTGCCAGTGGATACTTTGTGGCTTCCAAACCTTGGCAATTGTGGATAATTGCAAGACCACGGGATGTGACTATGTCTTGGAGACTCTTCTTTCAAAACTATGGCATGTCATTGATATTTGCTTACTGTGACATGCAATTATGTTTTAATGCTTAAGAAAAACCTTTCCATTTCTCCTAATGCCAGTGAGAGGCAGCATGGAGTACTAGAAAGACACAAGACAAGTATTGGTCTTGAAATTAGACAAACGCGAATTCGGATCTGAGCTTTGCCACGTCTTAACTGTGACTCTGGGCAAAGTCAGTTAACACATCTCAGTTGTCCCGTCTGTGCAATGGGGGTGATACAACACAAATAATTTCTGTGTAGGATGTGTGCATGTCAGGACACAGCACAGAAGCATGTGGTTGGCAGGGTTCCCTTTTAGTCACCAGCCTCTTTGGTTTCTCCCATCTGTTCTGTCTCCCTCGTGTTTCCCTTCCCAATCCTGTTGTCATTTCTCTCCTGAAGTCATTTTCTTTTTCCCAAGGGCAGCCTTACTTAAGGCAAAGCCCTAGCAGTTAGCAGAAATGATTGGAAGTGGTCATAGGCTTGGCAAATCCATACAACTGCAAAGATTTCCCAGAACTTAGGGTTTAAATGCTACAACATAACAACAGCCCGGCTCTGGTGGTTAAAGTGATGCCCTTCCCGAACTCACATGAAGCATCTCCATGCAGTTGGAGAGATGAGGAATATAAACCTGGAAGCAGGATTGCTAGATCTCATGGTAGCTCTGTTTTTAATTGAGAAATCTCCATCCCGTCTTCCACAGTGGCTG